GTCATCACTGGTCTTGGCAGGTGCCTGGCTAGGAAGAGGCGGGAGCGTGGAACCGAAGGGCCTAACCCAAAACCACCTAAGACTAGCAGCACCGCGCTCCCAAGTAGGAAGCAAGAAGTCCCTAGCCCCTGGAGGGGATTTTTCATCCTTGTGCATGGTTCGTGGCAAGAGCAAAGCAATAACAGCATGCTGAAGACCTTGCAATTTGGCCAACCTCGAAAGATCCTCAAAGGCCGAGTCATTGCACAGAACTACGGAACCTTTTCCAAAGACGCTCGGAGATCGTCGACCTGCAAGATGGCATCGGTCCCATAAGCTTTGTGAAGCAAGGAAAGAGAGGCATCCCGAGGCGCAGGTTGATCGACCGGGGAGGGGACAGAAGCGTCCCGGCGAGTAGCATCGCCCTTCTTGCCCCGACCCTTGGCATCCTTGACAGTGACAACGCGGCCCGACTGAGTAGCAGCGCCCAGTGTCTCAGCCCAAGTGCTCGCGGCTGCCCTTGCCCTTGCCTTTGCCACCCGAGTCACCCGGCTGGCCATCCTTATCACTTGCAGTTTTATGCTTTTTGAGTGGCCTCTCAGGTGAGCCACTTGAAACCTCAGGCTGAGCACGATCTTGCTTGGGCCTTTTGCCAAAGCCTACACCCTTTTTTTCTACATCAACCAAGCTGACAAGTCTCTGGAGCAATGTACCTGGCTGTCTTCTGGACCTTTCAAGGGCCCTTTGAACAGCAACGGCCAGACCCATCTCCTGTTGCACCGTTAGTTGCAACTGCTCCGTACTCTTGCTGAAAAGACTTAACCGCTCCCTCAAGCAACTCCAAGAGTTTATTCTCCGCACCTTCGATGCGGCGTCGCTCATTGGCCTTAGCTCCGCCTCCCCCTTTACCCCCTCCACGACAACAGTGGTTCAAGCCAGAGACCTGAAGTGCAACGCGTGTGCGACCACACCTATGCCACCGGCCGATCGGGCAAATGAGAGCTGTAACAAACCTTGAAAGCCAAGACAACTTGTTCTGCTGCACCTTCGCAGCCCGTAAGCGGACCAGCGAAGGGTGAGTGCGCAGAGGAAGTCCAGCAGACCTTCTGGCCGCAAATCTGGGGCGCCAACCCTTACGTGCTTGAGCGTACCTTTGTCTTCCAATCCACCTGCAGCGGAGGATCAACGGGGGATCGCTAGCACATAGCCGCCTCATCAAAGCTGGCCAGTCAACGAGAGCAGCACAGCAATGGAAAAGACCCAAAAAGGCAGTGAGAAAACCCACCACCCCAGAACCTGAAAACCCCAAACCCAGACCAACCAAAGGCACATCGGCACGGGTCCTGGCCACTGAGGTGTCCACTTCAGGTGGTCGGCAGACTGAGGTCGTTGCGCCAGCAGCGGGCACAAGACACGGAACCAAGCAGAGCACAACAAGATGTGCCGGCATGTTCTTTGTAGAGGATCTGCGCCCTGGCTCGCATTTCGCCACCCAGAAAGGTGCCCCCTTCGACCACGGGGAGGTAGCGCGCTCATCGAAGGTAAACATCTGGGTCAGATTCTGGGTGGTACCAAGCCTAATATGGATGGCCTTAAGGCTGCTGTCAGGGCGAATATTACGGTCACCACTGACATAACGGCGAATGACAAGGATATGGTTAGGGTTGATGTTGTTTGGAAGCAGGAGTCAGCTAATGATCTTCGTCACTATGTTGGTACCTAGTACAGGTTTAACCTGATTCTTTACATTTATGTGTATAAAGACACATAAATGTACATACCGCATACGGGCAAGTCCGACAGCAAGTCTGACAGTGAGAAAGGGGGCGCCATGTACTATATGTTGAAGTAAACAAACAAATGCTGGTATAGCCCCTAAAAATCGAAGGGCCATCCTTTGGGGAACACCAGAGCGAAGACAGCAAGGATCTCGGTTCTTAATGGAAGCCGTTTCGTGTAGAAAATAAGAATGAATATGACGGCAACCGTTGAAGCAAATGTTTGGGCAGTGTTTAGCTTACATGTATTAATTTTAACAGTAACTAGTAATGGGGATGCCATGGCTTTTAACTTCGGAGACGTGAATGGGAACCCACAGCTACATCTGGATGCACTAACTTGTTGATGAGGCCAATGGCTAATATGTGGGTTGCAGTTGAAGGAAGTATCCGCCACAAAGAACAGCTTATGGGCAATATTAAGTTTGCGAGTAAGGTCCATCTTGAGGGGACGGCAATATCCTTACTATCAGGGGGCCAGTCTAGCTGATGTATGTGATTGTATTAACTTTGTATTAAACTTCAGCTCTGCATGAGAGTTGATATGGGGATGTATATATAATGGGGTTACAAGTCGACATAACATGCTAATCATGTTAATCCATACGAACTAAGATGTGCACTATCTGTGGGTGAACATGAAGTGGAAGACTAATGTCACCATTGGCGCCCATGTAAGGTCTAATGGCAGGGATAGTCTTAGGATATTGTTGTTCAGGAATAGGCGTCAGTCAATGCTCACGGTCATTCATACGTATTGCTGAGGCTTGGATCTGAAACTGTAGTGAAGGCTACGCTGGGTGCTATTGCTCGTGCCCATATTGAGCTTCGGGTATTCCGACAGACATGACTTTCATCGTTGGGAAATCATATGTCAGAGTATCTGTGAGAAGGGTCACAACAATTGAGAATGAAGGCGGTTGCCGATATACATATGCTGTCCCCTCCGAATTTCAAAATCTAACACGAAGCCTGGATCATACAATAGAAGCCTAAACCTAGGAGGATTGGTGGCGTCATCGCGACACCTCCGCTGTAGTTCTTCGGGGGGGTTAGTATGTTTATGTATATGTATATGTATAAATGTATAAATGTATAAATGTATAAATGTATATATGTATATGTATATGTATATATGTATATATGTATATATGTATATATGTATATATGTATATATGTATATATGTATATATGTATATATGTATATATGTATATGTATATGTATATGTATATGTATATGTATATATATATATATATATATATATAGGTATGCTACCGGCCCCCCTGGGTTATCCACCCTCCTTGGGTGGAAATGACCGACTTGGCCCAGTTCCCAGGCTGCGATCCATGCCTGCTCTGGCACCCGCCCTTTGTTGGGACTTTACAGTAATACGACGTGACTCGTATCATAAGTGCCTACCAGAGCAATGAAAACGCCTGATCCAGACAAGCTTGCAGATGGAGAAGCACGTTCGTCAAGCGAACACTGAAGGGCCCGGCTAATTTCTGGGACGAGGGTAACCACTCATCATACGTGATACACGCTATTTCGTGCAGTTGGTTCCGTTGCAATGTTCGAGTCGGCCATACTGAACCAAACTATGCCCGATACATGGCATCATACGGCTCCATGTTGAACTTTGAGAGGTTGAGTAATCTTACAGGTATGCCAGGTATGCTATAGATGCACGTTTTGATTGCAGTTCGACAGGTCGGCAGGTCGTTGAACGAGATCTACAGGCTTGCTTGCTTTCCTGAGGATCTTGCCTGATGCTGGTCAGATCCTGCCCACAGGCCACGACACCTTGTCGTTGTTAGCAAACATGCTGGAGCAGTAATCTGCTTCGGACAGTGCCGCGCTGTGCTTGTGCCCACCTCCAACTTCACCCTGGGTGTCCCGGAAAGTGGCGCCGCTCATTCTCAGAATAGCCTCTGCAGGACGCTAATGAACCAGTGGGCAATCACAGGCGGCAGCAGCGGCGCTGTGGTTGATGCGCAACGCCCATGCGCTGCAACTTGGTCCGTGATGGTGTATGCATGGCCTTCCCGTCACTTTTCGTCCGGAGCATGAGTTCAAACTCACCCAGGTCCTGGCAACGATCCGAAAACTCATTGCGTGACTGCCGCACCGAAGCTGAGTCAGACCAGGTGCCTCTTGGCCGTGACGAATGGCTGCGGCCATTGCGGCCTCGAAAACCTGGCGCCATTGATGGTTGACTGGGCTCTCAACCAATGACGGCTTCCTTGGCCAGGAGACACTCGAGGCAGCTGGGTAGTGCAGACTTCTGGAGCTGGCGGCCACGGCCTCAACTCCCTCGACAACAAAGTCTTGCAGGAAAGGTCGGCCCAAGACCTGCATGAGCGCATGGGCACATAGATCAGGTTCATCGGATTCATAGTTGACCAGCATCGTCTTGGTCGTGCCTCCTGGCGCGAGAAGCCTGTGATTGCTGCAACCTGTTCAGCACTGGACTCGGACACATCAAAACTCATGTTGAGATAGTTCTGCACTGCGGAACCCATTGTGTTTTTTTGATTAACCAGGTACAGTCGGACAGCTAGCTAGCCTTGTCGTTCCACTCAATGAGCTCGCCACACATGTCGACCTCAACTCTATGGCAAGGCTGCGCTGGACGTACATTTCTTGCACGATGTTGGGCGTCCCTGAAAGATCATTCAGAGACTTCCAAAACCAACACCAGGAAACAATGGAATGTGGTGTGCACAGATGCCAGTGCCAGCCAGACGACGGCAATCACGGGCGCTTGCGCACCGCGCAACAAGCGTGCCATGTCCTGCATCAAGTCACCGTTCAAACACATTCAAACCATGCTTCGGCGAAAGTCAAACCGCACAACTAACCTCACGGATGCGAAACCCCCTCCGTGCACGGAGCGTTCGACTTGAAAGCTGACAACACATCGTACAAACCTTCACAGGCTATCATCACGGCATGGTGCTCGCTGGGCACCCCTGGCTTTTTTGCCGCTCCCGTGGTGCAACGTAGACGGAAAAGCCAAAGCCTTTCAATCTCGTCGATATCTCGGTCGATTCCTGAGACACGGTAGTCCAACGGGTGCGTGTGGGAGAGTGGCCTGCAATCATCTCGTCGGCTCCTCAATGCTGATGGTGTAGCCTTTGGTCTTGCCGGGCCAGCGCCGACCCCTTCAAGATCAAGGTCCAGCTGCTTGAAGCATCACGAAGGGCGTTCAGCGCGATTGGTGGTCGCCGGCGCTACCTCCTCTAGCCTTTCTTCACCTGTCCCTTTTCCAAGATTGCAGCCTTCTGCATTTGAATATGTTGGAAAGCAGCTTTGGCAAGCTCATGTCGATGAGCGTTCTTGTCAGGGTGCCACTCGAAGAGCAAGCGCCTGAGAGCCCGGCGTCTCTGCGAAGTTTCCTTCAAACGCTTCACAGCTGCCAGCTCGTCGTCAAGTGCAGCCAGCTGCTCTTCCAATCCAGGACCGGGATTGCGCCACTTCATCTCTGCAGGGCCAATGGGTCGGAGCGCGGCCAGCCCAAGAACTCCTAGGGCGATCTGGCTGCGCAGTGGCTCGCCGAGATACTCCAAGGCACGGAAAAGTCCAGCAGGGTCTGCAAATCCGTCCTCAGTGACACCCTGCAAAGAGCATGCTGCCAGCAGTGCCGTCAGCTCTCGCAGGAAGGGCTTCCGTGCCAAGGAGGTCGTTGACTCAACCGAACCCAGGTCAGCCTTAGAGCTCCTTGCAAGGTCAAGCGCAGCTTTGCCAGCCTTGTCCTTGGTGCGGGCAACTGGCAGCGGGTTGCAGCGGGGTTGCAGCCTGTGGGGCCTGTGGGGCCTGTGGGGCCTGTGGGGCCTGTGGGGCCTGTTGGGGCCTGTGGGGCCTGTTGGGGCCTGTGGGGCCTGTGGGGCCTGTGGGGCCTGTGGGGCCTGTGGGGCCTGTGGGGCCGTGGGGCCTGTGGGGCCTGTGGGGCCTGTGGCCTCTCTGTTCACTTCGAGCTGCTTGGGCACGAGGATCGCCGTGTGCCAACATGAGCTCGGCGGCAAGACGGAGTGTGCCCAATTGGCCCCGGCCTGGAACAAGTGTTGCTGCTGAAATCTGTGAGACACGTGCTTGGAAGCAACAACAACAAGCAGCCCTCCACAACCCTTCCCACTACATTTTAGGGCTTCAGGGCCCAGGAGGTCTCACCTGTCGCAGCAGTCTCGCACAGATCGTGCAGTGGCCGCCGGCCAAGGTCGTCCTTGAATGCAGATTCGAAAAACAGTTCAGGCACAGCGTATTTCGTTGTCTGCTTCGAGCTGCCCAGGAGTTCGCATCTGCCGGTGTGCTGTCACGAAGCAACTCTCGCACTCGCCTCAGATACGAGGTGATTGTCGGAGGCAGAGAATTAGAACATCTGCGTGCATGACAGACCAGCACCGCCTGCACCTCCACTCCCTCCCTCCAGGCAGGGGGCACCACGTCGCCGCTGCGCACAGCCGAGCGCAGGAGGCTGTTGGCCTGGCAGCCCTGGTGTGGCTGCTGAGCCCTGCAAGACCAGGGACCCAAGAGTCTAAGACTGCCTCGCGCCACGAAACTTCTCACTTTGGAGGAGTTTTTCCCCACCTTGGGCAGTCGGGAAAGAAGCCCAAAGCAATCTCGCGCCTCAGCACTTCTGCGGGAAACTGCGCTCTACTCAGGACCAATGCATGCGCGTATTGCTGCCAGACTATCGCCATACCAAGCGTCTCTTTGGCAGGGGGCCGCTCCAACCAAGTACGGTCACAGTTCTCGCTCTTGTTGGTGTAAGGGTCCTGCATGGCTCTCGTAAACTGCTCGGTGCATCTGGCTTCTACACCTGAGCTAAGGCTGACAAGTGGGGAATGAAGACAAGAGTGCAGCTTGATTAAAACTAACCGGCAGAATCTGATTCGTTTGATTCGGTTCCTGGCTTCCTACCTGCAGCATGCTCCTTGAATGGGAGCAGTGTCGCCATGAGTTCGGAAGTGGAAATGCCTAGGAAGAAGGAAGGCGATCACATGCGATCGATATTTCTGACTAAAGCCTTGGTCTTGGTTCCTCCCGGAAATGCTTTCAGGGGTCCTTGTAGCGTAATGTTGTGTCAGCGCTTGCTCCTGCTGGGCATCTGCTGCAAGGCAAGAGGCTGGGCACGTCGTACAGGAGGCCTGCCTCATCGTAAACATTGAACCGAAGGGCCTGAATGAACTGCAGACAAGCATTTTTGAGGAGATCAGCCCGTCAGCCCGTCATGCTGTCACATGTGGCACACTGCATGTCAGCAGCGCTTCATTGATGCTGATTGCATGCAAACGTTTGGTATAGACAGCCGTGCTGCGCACAGCAATCTCCGACTTCCGCCTACTGCAGCATGCCTGGCGGATTGGTCCAAAATCCATTACGTTGACCAGGCCGTCGACAAGCCAGAACAAAACCTGCAGCATTTACAAGCGTTTTTCCCCACAATAGGGCCGCAACATCGAATCTGTGCTGAGTATTTGTGAATGTCTCTGGCACCACCTTCGGGTAGACATCGTGGCGGAAGAGCCGGCCACCTACCATCATAGCATCTTTCGGAATGCTCGGAATGTGTGCATGCAAGCCAGCACCATTGATCACGATTGCACTGCGAAACGCTCCAGGATGTAGCTGCAGCCGCTGCCACTACGACCAACCCTGAGCTTCCGTGTGCCTTTGATGCTTTTGGCAGATAGACCCGAAGTGGAAGCTGACCTCTCGCCGCAAGATGCTGAGGCAAAGGTGCGATTGTCCCTCCACGCCCCTGGCCCCCGGCCTTCCTATGAAACCTGGCGGAGGCAGGTGAGGCTGAGGAGGCTGACGAGCTTGGAGCATGGCCACGAAACAAAGCCTGGACAAGTCAGGTTCAGATGCCGCTAGGCTCGACTTACCTTATCCTTGTCGCGATCACGAAACCTGGCTCGCGAACCACCCCAAAGTCGAAGAATGCTGTAGAGATCTTCCAGCCTGGAGGGGATTGGATACAGGCATGTGTGGAAGAAGCAGAACTTGGACGACTGCTGATGCAGGCAAGAATCTTCAACAATTCAGTCGGCGAGTCGCCGACGTAGCGTACGAACAGCAAGGGACGAGAACCGCGCACATCGCGGCTGTGGCGGCAGAGGACCCTGCCAACTTTGTTTCAACCGAAACTGCTGTCCGACGCCACAACATACCCGCAGCCAGAAGTGGGAAGGCTGCATGCTGTGGGACTGCTGAGTGTGTGCAGTAATCTGTGCTTACCCTTTTCTCTCCAAAATCTGCACTGATGTCTGACAACAGGACGGCCGCTCCTGAACCGTCGAATCCGTCGATCCAGCTTGGCCTGGTCCGACTGCGGATGATGGTGAGGAAACCTGTGGAGCAGTCGGCAAACTCCAGGGTGTGTCCAGATTGCCAGCTTGCACGCGCCCCCACATGCAAAGACAGCAGATGCTGCGGAGCTCTCGGTGCCAGTACCCTGCCAGCTAAATTGGACATGCCAGATTGACAGATTGCATCAAGATGCGTATGCATCCATGACCGGTAGTTGTGAAAGATGATGTTGGGAAGTCCTGGCTACAGCGCAGCTTTGCTCTTGTCCCTGTTGGGAGCATTGCCACCCTAGTCTGCAGCCATTTCCCCGGCAGCCCACAACAAGTATTGAAACAACCATCAGATTCCTGGTGGGTGTACGTTGATCATGTCATTGTAATGGAAAAAGTTGGCGAAGTCGTGCCGGAGAAAATGCAAAACTGCATCCAGCGATGTCCTTGGCAGATCGCAGCAACAAACTCCACACAAGCGGCCTCCTGCATCCCGCAGAACATCCCCTCGATACTCTGGTTTAATGTATAATGTGTTGCGTATTTGTTGGCTGCTAGGAGCTCCTAGCACTCTTTGGAGCCGGGGAGCAGCAGAGAGTCGAACGGCAAGTACCTGACAAGCTGGAAAATGCTGAGGTCTGCAGCAAGACGCGCCTAGACGTGCACTGGGAAAGACAGTCATACGGTTCTTCGTCAAGAGTCTCAGCACCATGGAAGTAAGGATAGCCCACCTTGCAGCCAGTGCTTTTGGTGTTTAACAGTCTATCAGCTGCCAGGGATTTCAACAAAGCGATATCGCCTCACGACAGCACCGCTGACATTGAAACCGTTCAAGCAAACGATGCTTCGCCCGAGTCAAGCCGGAGCTGCAGGAGCGATAAGCGTGCTGCAGCGGCCAATGCGATTTCCAACTAAGGGCGAATTAGGCATCAGTTCACAGAGCGATCTCCACAAAACTGAGGTGCTAGATACTGTGACCGTGATGGTGGGCTGGCTACACAGGATTCTATGCAAATCTCACCGTTGGAATTCATACAAGTCGTTTACAATCGAGGACATACCGAAGAGAGCCCATCGCAACTTGAGAACCCATTTGAGGCACGAATCGTTCCATCACCGGGACAACCAAAGCCAAGACTGACACAAGTAACAGAAGGTATCCTGTGTTAATCCGAGGAGCTGGACAGTGTGCATCTCCGGAGCACTCGTCAATCCCCAGCTTGACACAGCAGCGGTTCCTTGACGAGACGGCACTCTATTTCTAATTTCCCAGAAGAGTTGGTGCCGAATGCACGAGGCCGGCGATAAGTCAATACTGATGCTCAGCGCCCAGCAACGGTACCATCAACTTTTCTTGCCATGCATGCAACTACATGTTTTTTGGTGTTTCAATCAAACTGATGGCCGAAGGTTCCCAAGACTGACAGGGTAGAGTCCACGGCCTCCGCAGCCGAGGTCGCAAGCGAGCAAACTGAGCATTAAGCAACAGCAGCAGCTTCTACCGTCTTTCGGACCAGAACTTCAAAGTCGTGAATTTGATCATTGCGAACTGAGAGCTGACGTCAGGAGAAGGCACCACTCCCTCAACACGCCATCAGACAGTTCTCGCCTGATGGCCAACACGGGCAGTTGTTCAGCCCGTCAGTTCCGCCACAAGCCTGGCAGGATAGCTGCAGCACATAGAATCCAGATGAGGAGCTATCGATTCTCACTTGCCCCCCTCAACCATGACTTCTTAGCAGCCTGTGCCAGCAAAGCCCTTGAGCGACCTACCTGTGACTGGTTGATTGGTCGCTCAGTTGGTACGGCAACAATGAAGAGGTCGCCGGCTCTTTGAGCCCCAAAAAGATGGGGACATCCAGTTCCGCCAACCCGACTGGCTCCGCGAGGTTGCACTCAAGTTGCTTGTCATGCTTTGCCTGCTCTCCCTGGCACTCCGACTGCGGTTGCTAAACAAGAACGAAGGCCTCTGCCAAGGCAATTTCGGAGGAATGCATGGCCATGACCTTCAAGGATGCAGAGTCCGCCAAACCTTCTCCCCGTTTTCAGACGCACATGCGGCCTGTCTCGATGCCAGCACCAGGACCTGCCACAGACACAAAGGCATGGATGCCTGATGCTTCGCGCACGCTTCACGCAGGGCTCTTGGCTGCGAAGTTTCGAGCCTCCCAGAACTGGCCGTTGAAGTCCCACCACAAGGTCTGCGCCCGCTGGCCATTCAAGCCTCGACTAGTGGCTAGCGGCCTAGGTGGCCTGGCGGCTAGCGTAGATGGCTGACTCTACATCAAGCTCCAGCATCCAAGTAGCCACTGCTTTTGCTTTGCCCAAAGATTATTACCTGGACGAGAAGCATGCACCGACAGCACTCATGCAGAAGGCAATCTTGCTTCTCCCCTGCCTGCGCGCCCACATCAATTTGACTGTCACAGCCCTCTGCCCCTGGCGTGCAACAGCAGCCCAACTCGTCCAAGGCGGCGTGAGCCTTCGGGGCTGAGACTTGAAGGGGGCTTGAAGGAGCAGCTAGCACCGCAACCTTCGGGATGCAACCTAGCTAAGACAAAGACTTCCCTGAGTCTCCGGGATGCATATTTTGGGGATTTCGTCCGGTCTGTAGTTCCAGGGTCGCTCGCTCTGAAGTTGCGGGACATGTCTTCGTCTCCCAGATTTACAGAAGTCTGGCGAGCCTGGTCCATGAGCTCCCACCGCGATGACAGGTGAATTCTGTCGCCCTCGCCAGCCTTGCTTTAAGAAAAGATGCCCAGCTGGAGCGAGGCATACTAGTTACTGGTAACCCTTCGAAGCACCGGCAAGTGAGTCCTCACCATCCACACCTTTTTGCAGGGCCAAGTCTCACATGCCGGACACGTCGGTACGCTTTCACGTCGCAGCTCAATGAGCAAACCTCAAACTTCACTGCCCGTGGATTTCACGGCGAATCTACAGAACTTCGGAGCATGCCTGGCAGGCGAAACTCGGCCACCCGCCCAAGAACTTAGTTAAGACTTTAGGATTGGCCGCGGGACAACTTCGACAAAGACGATGCGAGCCAGGGCAAGACAGCTGCAGGCCGTCGCCAGCCGCGAAATGGCAACCTCATCCATGAAGGCTGTTCAACACACCTGCAGACTCTATCCGGCAAAGACCGAGAACCGAGAGTGGGCTCATGGAAACACTTGGCAGGTGTCAATACTCGTTGATGTTTGCTCATGTCACCATGAGGTCAGGAAGGTAAACATGCCCGAAACTTGGCACGCCAAGCCGACAGCCGCAGAAAGCCACCAATCCGAGCGGCAATCGCAAGACACCTGGTGAAGCTATGGAGACTGCACCCCATCGATGCAGTCTTCGACATTGATTTCAAGGCCCAAAGGCAAGGATGCAACGCGGGATTCTATGCGATTTTGGGTCGGTCTCTCGCAGCCGTCGGCACTGCAGCGGCACCTCGCGAGAAGCCAGGTGGCTTGCTGCGTGAGCGTCCACACCTGGCGTTTGGCTTTTGCCATTTGGTCCATGCTGGCCGGTACGATCCAAGCTTGTTCCCAAGTTTTCCAATCCTTGACATGCCTTGGACCCTCAAATTTCCCGTCATGTCGCCTGCAAGGTCTCCAGTCCGTGCAGCGAGGGCCTCAAGCTCCGCTTCAAGGGAAACATGTTTGCAAACGTCTCGGCAAGTTCAGCTATGGTCGGTTTAAAAGCATGACATGACCATCAAGCAGGCATCGGTTTTGGTTCGGTGTCACTCGACTGCAGTTGCCGTCTACGTTCGGTGTCAGAGAATAGCCAAACGCAGCATGCTAGGCACCGGCACCCCTGGCGCCCGTGCACAACAAGCTTCAACAGCCAAGTTGGAACTCCACAGGCCGCTCGCCCACATCGTTCACCCATCTAGAACCGGAAATCGAAATTGCACGCGTCGCAGCTTCCGCAAAGCTTAGCTGCCACGACTTCCCGCAGTGCTTCATAAGCTATTGTAGCTCTGCGATATGCTGCATTGTTAACGCTTTGTATAATCAGCAAATCCCGCGGTAGTTGTAATTAACGTGCGCAGGTGCAACGGTGTGTTGGACACTCTCAGGCAGCTCCCGTCACCTAGACCAAAAAATTCCTTCTTCAAAATCAAGCCATGCAACATTTGCCCTTCATACGGACTTCAGCCCTCAGCCTGAAGGTTGCCAAGCTCAGTCAGGCACCGTGTTCTCGGGGCGAAGCTTCTGCGCCACCTCTCGGTCTTCTGCGCAAACTGTGATGCTCCAGCGGCCGCAAGGAAGCGTCACCTAGCGACCGGCGAAACGATACAGAGATATACAGAGCCCAGGTTCATGCAGGGTAGCTGCAGGGTGCATCGAATCCATCCACATAGAAATCTTGCCGTCTGGTGGCGACGCGAAGAACTGTGACATCTGACTTGGCTAGTTAAAAGTATGCATGCGAAGTTATACTGGCAAAGCTCTGCTTCTCCATAGAGTGAAAACACCGCGAGCGAGACATCCACAGGCGCACTGCTTTTCCAATTCGGCTCCACACGCAGCTACCCTCACAACAAGCTGACAGATTCTTCGGCATTGTGCGAGTTGCTGAAGCAAGGCCAGCGTCAGGGCCGCACTCTGTTTGACCCCTCTCTATGCTGCTGTATAGACGATGCTTTCGTCACAAGAAGGGCAGACACAGCTGAAGAGCACTTGTGCCGTTTCACGTGCTACCTTATCATTTGTGAATGTTAGACCACTTTATCCGATACCTTCCATTCCGGACTAGAGAAAGGCACAGCAGGAGGTGTCGAATCAAGGTGACACAGGGCTCATTAATTTTGATGCAAGAGCCACAGGGCTGGAAGCTTCCGGGACACTATGGAAAACTCTTCCAGGCAAGTGGCTTTGTCTGCATTGCTTCGCAAGGCACAGTAGGTTACATATTTCGTCGGACATAAAACTCATACGATTCCTCTTCAAGGGTTCGCATGGAGGCCGCGTCAGAATCTATGGGAAAGCTGTGGCCCCAAGTCGGTCTCCCTGGAAGCCCTCAGTCCGTAACAACTCACAAGCAGAAGCTAGAAATCATGCCAGAGCTTAGGTGCTGCTGCCGAAGCACGAGCGCTTCACATTCTTCGCAGTCGCAAACTTGTCATCGTCTCCGAGGGCCGTGGCGGCTGCAGCCGCTGCCATGCGTGAGGCAAAGCCGTGGCTCTCGCGCGAAAGGCCGGCGGCACTGAAGAGCGTCTGCAAGGAATACGTGGAGGAGCGGTGGGATCGTCCCGCGGCGGCTGAGGACGTATTGGCAAGCACCTGTGCCAGCAGCAGCTCGAGCTTGGTCTCCAGCCGATGCATGTCGATGGCCTTGGCAGGGCCTGGCAGAGTCAATACTATCAGACTATCACCTCTTTCGCTTTCGCTCGATCGTGTGGCGCAAGTCTTGTGAGAACCCTACCTGGTTTCAACCAGGTCATATTCCCCACATGCTCAGAAGGTTAATGAGTTGTAAAGCTGGAACCTTACATGTGGGGCATGCGAAGCATGTCGGTCGTTTCCACGTGGCCAAGCCTTTCAGCTTCTGGGCATTCTCGATGAACTCCTGGAACCAGGACAATCCAAGTGAAAACGCACTCAACTACCTCACCCAACCGCCAGCAACACAGCCTTCATAGAGATTTCTCCATCCCCATCATCAAGCATCTCAAACAGGCCCAGCAAATCGTGGTAGTCCAGCTCCTTACACCAAATTCAACACAAGGCAAGCAAAACCACCAGCTGCAGTCCAAATGAGTTCTGTCGGCTCCATTAAGACTCTACTGGTTTACGCGCATACCCCCTTAACTTCGGACCATATACGTATACGATACGTACAGCCCATGGTGTTAGCCTCTTGGCTAGGAAGCCCGCACCCAACCTGCACAACGCAGCATTGCCATGGCCGATCCCGATAGCCACAAAGTCTCATGTCCTAAAGGCGTTGATGCCGAAAAACTGCTGCTGTGTCGAAACGGGGAGGCCTGCCCCAGAGATGGGCGTCGCATGACGTCGCAATGGAACGTCCAATGAGGATGCTGACGCTTTCGAGAACATAGTGATGTAGTGGTGAGACAGCAGACTCGATTTCTATCGTCGAACCAATGAACGTGAAGAAATTTACCTCCACCCGGAATTGCCAGGAGAGGCCTTTCTCAAACACAAAGACGGTCATAGACGATCCCTCGCCGAATTAGAGGGACGACGTTGCGTGCTTGGTTTCCCACCGACAGCATCACTGAGAAGGATGCATAGAACCCAGCGCCCCTAAAGAACTGTAGTAAGAACAAAAAAGCTACGGCAGTGCAGACTGCAGTGCAGAACCGGAGCTCTGCACGGCTTGCTGTCCGAGACTCCAACTGGCTCATCCAAAACCGAAGTTTGGGTGATTCGATGAGCTGAGCAAACTCATCAAGAGTCACCTGGTGGTAAACACTCACACCACAAAACTGCAGAAGTCAATCACATCGATCTTGCATCGACATCAACTGACCACTTGCAGTGCATGGTCGCTATGAACCAGCAAACCGAGGCAATTCAACTTGGGCGGGCGGCCATCCCGTCCTCCGAGGTATCCATTGCGCTGAAAAGGCGCTGCACCTGCTCTCTTCTGTTTGAAGTGCAGCAGCCGGTCCCTGAGTGAGCTTAGCTCTATGTAACTCCTGAAGCAGTTGAACAGGACATGTAACCCATTACACAATCATACGTTGCGTAAAAATTGATTTCGGGGTCACAAGCAAAGATGCCACACCGCCACACCTTCTTCGTGTACAAAGCCCAGTCCTTTTGCTTCTGCTTGAAAGCCAAATCTTCGTCATTCGCTGCCATCAGCAAAGTCTGCTGCACGAACACTGCATTTACGACCTTTGCACCAGAACGGGCTTGGCCACAGAACAAACTTACACACAAGAAGAACGACCTTGCACCAAGACTCGTTCAAGACCGCATATCCGATCATGCACCGGTAGACCAGAAAGAACAACGAGAAGGCCTCGTCGACATAGTCCACAAGGATGCGACATGGTGGTCCCCAATTAGCAAACAATATCTCAAACATCGTCAAAAAAGTTCTTGTAAAAGTGCCGTAGTAATCCCAGACTTGTTGCCGGATTTGAAGGGGCTTGGAGTCATCATTGAGGTACTCTCTGACTAAAGCGCTCAGTATCATTCCAGCAATGCACTGGATAAAAGTGAGTAGGCAAAATGACCAAAAGAGCATGTCAACCGAGGACGCGCAGCACTTCAGCAAAAGCTGTAACGAATCCAATGATCGAGACATTGTAACCATCCGAAAAGCTCGGGCAAGCTTCCCCAGGCGGATAAGTCTCAGATAAACTGCATCAATGGCCAGGCTGGGCATAAACCATTGGACGCTCGATGTTGCCACGACGATCGCATCAATCCAGTTCATCACGGCTCGCCAGAAGCGACATCGTAGCACCACAACGCGGAGAGAGACATCCACAGCGAAGATTACTGTGAAAATGAAATCCCCAACTGTGATGACCCGGTTGATAGTCGGCCAAGACGACTGCGCAGGCGTTGGCTCGTCGTACTTGTCTATCTCCCAACCCGAGACCATTCCTGTAGTGGCGCAATCACGGGATTCAATCTTTCTACAGATGCTATGTTCAGCAAACTTGAGGACGAGGTGACAAGGTTTCGGGCTGTAGGTGGCAGCTTGCAGACTGTAAGTTCAATACGAGGAAGAGGAATTGTCTTTCCATGTGACCTCACAGGTATGGTATTTCGGGCAGCTTAGCCCAGGAATCATCGCGAAACGTCCTTTTTGGAACCAAAACCGAACGATTCTCGGCAAACGCATTTTCACCCCAGCTGCGATTGGATGTAATTAATTGCGTAACCGTTCGGCTTTTTGCAAAGACAACTGAGGCTTGAACACACATGTTACCGGCGTAGAGGCGGCATGACAAGGAATGACATAATGATGTGAAAGTACCTACCCCTACCGGCAGGTTCTTGGATTTCCAGCAGACCGCCAGCAGCGCATGCGCGCGCTCGGCGGCCAAAGGGAATCGTCAGCACGGGAGTGGAGGCGTTCACCCTTTATGCTCCGTTAGCCAGCAATGTTAGGCCATCTCCCAAAGGTCAGTGCCCTGTCGATGAGCTGGCAACATCCACTTGGCTCAGCGATGCGGGGGGGAATACGCATTACGCGAAGAGGGCGGGCGAGGAGGGAAAACAGATCTCTTCAGACAGGAGTGACACGTGGCCTGGCACGCTGTAATATGAATAATGGTCGGATCAGTCGCTTCGTTCTTGTGCCTCTGCGCCGACATCCTGAAACTTGATTTTGGCATCATAGTACTGCAACTCATAGCTCACCTGCCCAAACCTGAAACCTTGTAGCCTAAGCCTGCAGAGGATGATGTGTGAAAACGTGCCTGCGATCTGTAAACATTACCCCTCGCCTTGCTCTCACCGTTTCCGCTCGGAGTACTACTAGCACGAAACGTCGATGATGATGCTGAAGACGGGCACTACCAGCCCTGCTCTTCTTGCTGTCTTGCTGTCAGTCATGAGGCAGCACCAACGATCTTCAACACTGTGATCCATGCTAAGCCTGGTATCGTCTGTTGATTCCTCCTTTCTGCTGCGGTTTATGGGTACCAACTTTCAGTGCTATCGTCAAAGCAGAAACTCTTCTCGGGTCTGTTCTCCACAGCTCTTAGTCTTCCGTTTCAACGATTTCAGGTTCAGCGCTTCCAGCTCACGTGCATGATGCCCCGTTGGAGCATTTTCAGAGACCGCGACAGTACTTCGGAGCTTCGTGCTTAAACAGCGAACTTTCCTGAACCAGCCGATGCAAGTTCCTTTAGTTTCGTTCAAATAACGTCAATAGTCGCCCAAATGCGACCCGCAAAGCATCCGCCTTCAACAAGCCCGACGCACTCAGGCCGCCTACACTGCAAAACTGCTAAAGCTCATAGCTCCGCCAGGTGCCCGCCCCCCTTTGTCGAGACATGCGAAATGTGATGTGCATCGGGCCCCGCAGCTACAATCAACTTGAATGCTTGACTTCGACACTGAAGTTCGACCTGCTCGGGAAACCGCCCGAAGGAATCTGTTTGGGCGAGTAGACTCGACAACCTGAAGCACAGATCAAGGAGGCAAGATCCAAAGTCATTGAGTCCCTGTGGCCAAGGAATTGCATCTCCAGGGCCATGAAAAAGACGTTTGCAACCAGCAGTGCTGACAGTGCCGATTCAAAGACTGCAGACTGCAAGAAGTCCGCGCAGCGCTCGATTGTAGAGACCTTCCGGCAAGAACGGCTCTGCTCCCGCTTCAAAAAGCGCTCTCTCTGCACCGGCCGCCGGCCGCCGGCCTGCTCGATGCCTTCTCGACTTCGATCCCTGACACCACAACGCTCAAGCCGTGCCCAGCAGTGTTGCAGCCCGCCTCATGCTGTGGGGACTGTTGGGGTCGAAGCGCCGCGCCGAGGGCTGCGGCATGACCGACAGCCGAGGCATCCTGGCCAGATCCGAGACTCTCTCTCTCTCTCTCTCTGTTTCTCCCGCACTCCGGATCCACGGATCAGCCTGCTTGTGTCTTTGCTTGGTGTACGAACGACTCGGGGTAATGGAACTTCAGGTGGCGAGCTGCCAATCGATGCTGATCCTCGGCAGTAAGAAGCCGCGCGCCACACTCATCACAATCTGCAATTATAGTGGCGATCACAGCAGTTCGTCCGCAACACCAGGTTCGTCCGTGGCTCTGGACAGATTCAGGCTTGGCTGCTCCTCCGCGTGTCGGGGATGTCAAATGCCATGCCGAAGCTACTCAAAAGAAGGCAACTGCGTGAACCTATGCCCCGCCAGGAGTCCTTGGGTGCATCTCCTGGGCTCACAAGCTCCGATCGGAGAGATGCCATGTCCTGCACCTCGGAGCTCGGGCGAGGATTGTGCAGACTTGCAAACTGCAGTGGGCCATCTGCTGCGAGGCACATGCTGCGCAGCCAGAAGCTGCAACAGGCGCTTGAACTCCAGCGAGCATTCGGAGCTCACATCGCTCGAGGCTTTCGCAGCAGAGATCCTTGTGGGAAGCTATTGACCAGGCACGTTGAACCGGAGAACACCAATCTGGCACTGCAGGTGCCGAGAAACAAAGTGGACTGGGCCCGCTGCTTTGTCTGAGACTCTGCTGGCAAAGCCGAAGCTTGCTGGGCCTTCACAGCATGTCAACACATGTGCAACCCATGTCATGTGCCCAAAGTCCAAAGGCTCGACCTGCTCCACCGAGTCGGCCGCAGTCGCATCCGCAGGTTCGTTGCTGAGTTCATACGCTGGCATGGCATCTGGATAGGCTCAGAGGCTTCTTGAACAACTCTGCGGAGCCATGCGCGAATCGGAAAAGCAAGCTCTCGCTGAAAGATTCACAAGACAAGCTACTCACTGACTCACCTGCGTGACTTTCTGCCACGGGCTCCTGGTGCTGAACGAACAACACATCGACGCAAGGCCTGCCTTCGTCACTTCCTGTCGGAATTCCGTGGTTCGGAATATTGCCTCAGAAAGCTTCTCAAAGGACAGGGCCAGCCAACATCCTCAACTTGAAGCGGTGCCGGCGGCCCCTCACTCTCTCCGCCGAGCTGCCCAACTGCCTCCCCCTCCTGGAATTTCCAGCATGTCACCTTCGTAGACGGAGGTTCCATGGACTGGGCCACTCGCGGAGCAAAACAAAACAACCAATTTGGGGCCTCGAAAAGGAATTGGAAAAGGCACTGCCCACGTTGGTGTATATAGACAAGAATCCTGCCTTTCTTCTACTCGTCAGTCAAGCAACAACCCCTCCCCAATTTTCAGTGATGGTTCAATTTGCTTACTTGAGCCTCCGTTCGGGTGAACTGCTTCAATTTCTTTATAAGTTTCCTAAACACGTTGGTTAACCCTTTTTTGAACGCAGGCTTTGTGCTATAAGGGCAGCAATGGTTAACCCTTTTGCAACATCAAGAGGCGTGCGACTTCGCCCGGAAGTTGGACCCTGGAAGCCCTTGAGAGCACGTATTGTCGTGGAGCCACAATGCTAACCCTAATCTGTAAACCCAAAACCCTTTTTGCACAGGCTTGTGTGAATCCCGCCTGGGTGTGTCGCATCTGTTCTCCGAACAAGGCCAGACACAGAACGAAATCACTGACTTAGAATGGCAAAAAAACCCAAAACCCTAAACCCCAAACCCTACACGAGCAGCAACAAAAGACGCAAAAAGCATAGTATATGAAGACGGTACATGCGCACGCACACACACGAAGAGCAGAAGAATACATCCTACATCCAACCAAGATGTGGCGAAACAGGCACCTAGACTCCAGACAGACATTGAAATTCTGCTCGCCAGCTGACAATTGACACAATCGAAACCAGCAGCATCAGTGAATGTTAGTGTGAGGACTCCGGGCCATGTTGACAGTTCTGATCCTCTTGGACTTGGAAGACGCAACTCGAATCCGAACATCTACTGAATCTGCTCCCCCAGCAGTCTTATACCGCACGAGTTGGGTGCGCCTTTCCGACCGTCTCGTCGCACTGGATGAATTCGAAATGCACCACCCTCGACGACGCCTTGGTGCTCTTGAGTCCTCTGCAGTAGGACGCTGATGCAAGTCGCACTGATGCAAGTCACACTGAGCGAACAGCGACGGTGACTGTAGCTCGGATGCCACCTTGTCGACGACCCACAAATGGGCCGACAGACAGCTTCTCCCATTTCCGGTGGTATTCACTCCCAGGCACACCAAGCTCACCCGGCGACTGCGTCGACCAGCGCCGTCCTGCCATCAGAGAGCAACGCAAAAACAAGGCCAGGATCCTGTCGTCGGCGCGCTGCCTCCCAGGGTGGCAGCTGCTGGCCTTTGCCGTGGAAGCCTCGGTTCAGCGACTTCATCACTCCAGACAAACGTGCAAAAGCTCTCGCCGTGGAGCTGATCAACATCTGTTGCTCGACACCTCGGCATCAAACGATCCACACAATGCAAAGGCACAAAGGCACACGGCAGGATGCCAAGCGAATTGCAGAGAAGGCATCTTGCCTGCGCAGAACGGCTCAGGCGAACACGGAGTCGGCGACCTTCCTCTCCCAGTTGATTCAATATCATCTGCAGCTGGTCCTCGACTCTTTTGGATTGATAAAACCTTCCTTTGTTTTGGCTTTGTTGCTGCACTTCGCTTGACATCTCGAGCTCTCTGCAATGCGCCCCTGCACTACTACTGCTGTGAATTACCACATGCCTGTGGTACCTCAGTGCAGTCTGTGCAAGCGCACGCTTGTCGAACACGTTTTCCGCATGGATATGCTGGGAAACCTTTCAAGGAAGCTCGCATGCGTTGCTGGATGCAGGATCACCCAAGTTTGATGGTAGCGTTATCGCACGAAAGCTCCACGCTCTGGCTGCATTGCGAAGCTGACAGCGGTGGCGAGGGCCGACAGAAGGAGCGCAATGTGTTTATGCAATGCTTGGGGGCTCCGATGCACTTGAGCATCTCCAGGCCGAAAATTGTGTGTACTTTCCAAAAACTGTCCAAATGTTCTTCTGAGGAAGTGCTGCGTCGCAAAACTAAAGTCCAAAAAGAAATCTTGGTTTCAAGGTGTGTTGGCAATAGCGTGTTTCGTGCTGGCCGCAAGAGCGCCGCACTTTCCAAACAAGTCATCTGTGACACCCGAAAACATAAGACAACTGCGGGCAAGTCTTCGGCGAAACTTTCACGGTTGGCCTACATTCGTCATGGCATCCTACACCGCTGGCATTCAAACATGTGGCAGTAAATCCCATGCGGCCGTTAGCAAGGGCGGGAGCGAAGAGGTCGGATAAAAAAAACCTGCCTACACAACCAGAAGGTTATCTTGGATAAAAAGCTTCTATCTGCATGTGTATAGTATAGACATACAGATAGGATTTCTGGCGAACGCACAGAGATGCATCTTAACGTGCCTGCATATTTACAGCATATTTGCACCATCTATACACATATATCATGTATACACACTTACCTGTTTACATACTTGCCTATGCACACACACACACACACTTGCAGATGTAATGTATGTGCTTTGCGCATGTATGTCTGTATGTCTGTCTGTCTGTATGCATGTATGTGCACACTACATGTCTACACCCGTGCTCCAACATAAGTACATCGAACCATGCTACTCCGCATTCGACGCCCACCTGGAGCAGATGCAGCGTCTCGAAGACATGCACCATGCCCCACTGCCACAGCTCCTGCTTTCGCGCAAAGGGCTTTTGGAATCACTCGGGCACCAAAAACCAAAGCCCACCGACATGGTCTAGATTGACGGCACACAGAGGAGACCGCCCCAGTTCCACACCCACAACCCACCAGAATGCTCGAGTAGTCCTCCGCTGTGACAACCGCATAGCGGCCAGCTCGGGGGCCTGCGGCCAAGTGTCACGGCCAGTGGACAGAGACAAAGCGAATCAAGGTGACGAGCCATCAGAAGAAAAGCTGCGAATCCAACTCGGCGGATTTACAAAGCTGCAAGAGAACACGGCGGTTCCCCAGGAGAAAGATTTAGAGCAATGGCGACACACAGCCCATTGCATGCCTCCAAACCAGTGATTGAAAACACCGGCATTGGCTGCCTTGCTGAGCTCCTGCCCAACCACTTCGCCCATCATCGTGAATCGTGAGACTCCCTTTGTGTTATCAGCTCCGTGGCAATCAGGCCTCCAGCACAGCGGGGAATTGGTGCTGAATGCCCTGCCAGCTGCCGGTTTCGCAATCGCATTCTGTAACAAGCACTCACGTGGCTCCCCAGGGAATCTGGTCTCCAAAGCCTCCATTCCGAAGAACCAGGTGGCAGGGCTTCCCACGAGAACTCCGCGGCTTCGTAGAGCTTCCGCTGCCTGACCTAACAGATGGGTGCAAACGGTGTTCAAACCGACTGGCAAATTGATGACAAATGCATCCTGTGTTCAGTGCCGAGTCGCCGTTAATAGACGGGTGTGGCGAGGCTATCAGCCCTTGTTGGCAGCAGGCAGCATGAACATGGGTGAACATGAGAGTCGAGAACAGTGTCCAGTAGAACTGGCTTCATGCAACTTGGCAGCGCAGACGCTTCATGGACAGCATGTTGGACGCCCGTGCTGTGCGGTCCTGAGATATGAGCAAGGTGAAAGAACTGCTAATCCCAGCCTAGCAGCCTAGCAGAGGTCTTTTCCAAGCATCGGTGTCGTGGAGGAGCTCGGTCATGCGCGCAGCTGTTGGTGCTAGAGATTCGGGAAGACCCAAGGCTCGCCTTTGTTGGATGCGAGTGCCTGGCCTATGCCAGAGCCTATGCCGCCATGCGACGCGACACCGAAAGTCTGCTGTGCTGTTGGGTTGCATGGCCCGATCCCGCGCCGCCTTCACGGCAGGCAAGTTCTGCAGGGCACTGTTAAACCTAGGCATCGATGTAAAACAACGGATGTCATGTGAAACTGTAGCATGATCAGCCTCTGCCTTCATGAATTGGCTGCAAGATATCTTCGCGACTGGTGCTACCAGCCGGGTTGGAGAAGCTACCGGTGCGTCAGCAAGTCAGTAAGTCCTGGCCCAGAAGCTGTGCATCAGTGTCGCCAAAAAGATTTGGCTTCCTTTGCAATTAGCCGGCAAGTCAACTGTCATGTAAATGGAATCTCTTGCATGCTGCAGTCTCCCTTCCAAGTGCCCCAAGTCTCTGCAGCAGTGCAAGCGACTTATTCGCATCCACCTCCAAGTCGCTGCACTTGCACCAAGGAGTACAAATGAGGCATGGACATGTTTTCTAAATGCGAGGCGAATGCGTCGTTGTAATTCTGAGAACTTCTCAGAGCCACGCACGACTCTGTTCACGACCACTTAAACCGAAACATACTTATCAACTGCTGCTACTATGGCAGCGCAACTACGAATCTCGAATGATCTGGGTTCGAATCTAGTTCCAGGCCGGTACACCAAACATGGTGATGCAAATCAATAACACCACATCCAAGTACCTCGTCTCCTTCATCCTCGGACTGCTCCAACGGCTGCAGCGCATGGGACAATATCTTTTCCTGTGCAGGGCTGTGTCATTGACATCAGCACTGAGTGCTCAAGGCATGTCCAGTTGGGAGTATGATGAAATGGAATTCAACTCCGGTTCTATCACAGAGCCTGCAGCCACCTTCTGTACTACAAGTGACGGTGTCTGTCTCAACCATGAGCTTTTTGCTTGGGTTTCGGCCTCAGCCTCACCTATGCAGGCGACCTCTCTGCGAGAACAAGCCGAACGAGTTGTGGCAAGCGTTAAGTGGGCGTTTCCAACTTTTCGAGGGTTGGTTTCTTGAGGAGCCACGGCTGTATATCTTGAAAAGGAAATCCAGCAATCCAGCGACGGCGGCACGCTTTCAATCAAAGCTCAGGCCTGTCGATAAAGCAGCAAGTTTCCTGACATCCTTTCCTTGGCCTACATCGCCTGCTGTGCTTGCAACGTTCAATGTAAGATATCCGACAAGCCCAACCTGCTTCCGCAGCTGTGCCAAGTGAGCCTCTCGTGCACCGGCCATGGCTGAAGCAATGGCATCCTCCGCCTTCAACTGTGCACCAACCACTGCGACGCAAGAGACTCGCAAGAGCCTGATGTAACTTAATTGCACTCATCAAGGGCTCAGGCCAAGTTGCACACATTGCAAGGGCACCGGCTAGAGCCGACGGGTGGTTTTGGGGCAGCAGTGCAAGCGTCGAGCCTGTCATGTCCGCACGTCCAACAAAGGGAGCCTAGACCTCGCCGTACTGTTACATTCCACGGCGTCTACGGCTTTTGGAAAACTGCATCCTGTGGTAGGCAGGGAACTAATTGTTGCGAGACGAGCCTTCAGGTTTGGAACCGTCATCTTCGTAGGAGTGCTGCGCAACTTGCCTTGTCTGAACAAGAGCTCCCAACAACTCTAGCTGCAAGAGCTGCCCATGCAGAATCGGCTTCATGGTCTGCGGACCCTTGCAGGACAGCTGCCGTTGCACAGCCGCCAGGCCCGCTCGGCAATGAAAGCGAAGTTCCTGCAGGAGAACACACACTTCGCTTAGGCAACCCCAAAGCTGCCTTATCACTATCCGAAACTCCTTCAATTGTCAAACACCTCTGGCTGAAATCCGTGCCAGTGCCACAGGGCTCTAACAAGGGCAAAGGTCGTGTGAGTGGTTTGTTCGTGTCCCGGCTTGCACGCAGGTGACGTGGAGTGACTGCCGAGCTACCCACCCCGGGCATGGCACAAAAATTAAAAACAACCCGCAGCCGTGCGACGGCCGCCCAGTGACCGATATTGAGGTCTGATAAACAACGGACGCCCTCACGCGACTGAGGATGCAATCCATCCTGTCCGAAGCACATGGCTTTTACAGACTCCGAACATTCCCCACTCAAGCCCTGAGCTTTTACTTCCGACCTCTTCGACTGTTCTGCCCTTGGCCTTGGCTCCACGGTTCTGCTGAAGCCATCAGCACCACTGCATGCTTGGCTGATTCGGCTTGCATGTCAGCGAAACTCTAAGATACTCCAGCTTTTATGGGTCTTTTTACAAACCAAGCCGAGCTCCACGCGTCGTCTTTTTGTGGATGCTCCTCCTCGCCTCATCTAGCAATCAATGGAAAACTTCGGAGCTGCCGCACGGAAACGCCGGCACGTTGCAACCATCAAACCTGGACCGAACCTGGGCCAAACCTCATCGGCCTCATCAGTCGTCGAAAGAAAGCCTTTTCATGCCTACATCCGCGAAGAACCCACAGTCTGGACGAAGAGCTGACTCGCTCTTGAGGCCCTGGATGGCCATCTGGAACCGGAGCCAGCCCTGCATCCATCGTTGGGGCCTCTGCGTGCGCATCCTCACACCTCAGAGCTCGTCAAAAACTACTGATCTGCATCCTGCCGGAATGTTTTGACCAGAAGGGGAAGGCTCAGGCAAGAAAGAGTCAAGGCAGGCCTTCGCAGTGTGACCGCCAGAGTAAAAAAAGCAAAGCCTTCCATAGCTTTCTGAGGCACCCCTGTTGCTTCAAAGCCTGAGCTGCCTCGACGTAGCGCTGCACATCGTCTGGCTCCTGTTGGCACGGCGACAGCTGGGCCGTGCTAGGTGCATGAAGGGCACAGCCGCTGCGTCAATGTCTTCCGCCTTCTCTGCGTCTTCCTGAGAAAAATGGAAACCACGGCTGTCTCGTGCACTTCGAAGCTCCTGGCCTGCATCCTTCGCTTTTCTCCTTCCATCTCCAGAGCCAAAATGCTCTTCTTCCTGGGACGGGGCAACTGGGGAACCAGGTGAGGAGGTGCTAGCAGCTAGCAAAGGGCCGAAAGAAGCCAAGCCACTGCTGGTACGGATAAAGCTGTCGAAGCGCCAGGATTTCACGCTGCACATCTTCTGCGGCATACTCTTCCTGAAGCCTCCACCATGGAATGTGCATGAGTCCAGCCTTCGAATTCCTGCTGACGTCTAGCAAGAGTCACCCCACTTGCAAGTGGTGTATAGTAATATTGAAACTAAGAAACACAGCAGAAGGAAGCACAGGACAGCAAGCCCCGAGCACTTTACAGAATCGCCTGGAAGCCAAAACATGCCCCGAACCTCTGTACAAGGACGTGCAGCAACTACAGCCAGCAGGGACAGCATACCATAACATGCTCAAGGTCCAGCAAGACTCAAGCTTTAAACATCCTCAAGAGCCCGAAGTCAAACTTCACTGCACCCTGGGGAACGAGCTGAACCGAATAGCCGGAATCCACTCCTAACGCTTGAAAATATACATCAAAGCGTCACACGAGCAAAGACGTAGCGTCTGCGTTTCACCCTAGCTAGGTTTCCTCGCTTGGTCGGAGCATCTGGGACAATGTGCTGCGAGTCGGACGGTGAGCTCCTCTTACTTAACAGATCGCTGGGGTCCTTTAATCCTTACATCCAGCCAAGCTGTTACCTCCCAGTTTCTCTTCCCGTCTTAGAGGCTTAAGTTGTTGTGCTTGCCGATGGACCCCTGGTGTGTCGGTGTATGGTCAGCCTTTGGATCGCCCAGCTAGGCCATCTTGTGCTGCGTTCACTATGTCGCTGTCTTTCGTCAGGTCTGTCGCTCGCCACGCGTCCGCGGCACTTCAAAGCATTCCCCCCCCTCCCTGCGGCCTCCAGGCCGCTCGTCGGATGCAGTCGTTTCTCTGCTCCAGGGCTGCCTGCGCAAAAGCAGGAGCCGGTGAGAAACACTTTGCACTTCTAGGAGGAACAGTAGCCGAGCAGCGCTCTCTTAGGACCTAGTCATAGTCATCTGTAAAACTGCATGTCGCGCATTTTTACGGCTCAGCAACGGCGCAGGTGCAGGTCAAACCACTCCATACTGAGAACCGAAAGCCAGGCGGCCAGTGGAAGCTCCGCCAGAACTGCTTCCAAGGCCCTCCATTCCTCCCCAGCTCTCCAATCCACAGCAGCATTGCCAAAGAGACCCGAAGACCCCAAGCCAGCACGGGAGAGGGTCCCGAAACCTTCAACATGTCTGATGTTGTAAATGTGCTGCCGGCACAACTTCGCGGCACAATAGCGGCCTCGCAGCAAATTCCGAAGCATCTTGGCTCTTTCGACGGCCGTCTCTTCCAGGATGTGGACAGGGTGTCTGAGATGCACTTCAATTGATAAGAAGTTCGGGGAAAGCGGTCTGGCCGTGAGGCTGGAATTGGCCATCGACTCGTGGCGCCTGCCCGTCGCCCATGGATGAAGCATGCCGTCCGGCCTTTCGTGCGGTGCGGTTGAATTTCGGAGCAAACTTACTAGGCAGGGCACATCCAATCCTTCAAGATCGATTTTGACGTACTCCGGTCGGTTGCGACGGCTGCGGCGCGCAAAATGAGAATATAAAGCTCCACAGGCTCTCCTTGGTACCATGTCAATGTTCCCATCTTTGAAGGGCTTCTGGTCAAAAAGCCCAGAGATTTCTGGCTGATGGTGGTCAATCTTAAACTCTGCCATCGGTGGGGCCGAGCTTGCACCAGCCACGGCATGGACTAAAGTCAGGTTCTGACGGTTTTCGAAATGCACTAGACGTGAGCGAAGCTTCTGAAGAGCAGCTATGTTCCCCTCCACGGCAATGACCTTGAAGCCAGAAGACAAATAAAACTCCGTGTCCAGTCCTCCAGAAGCCCCAAAATCAAAGGCCAAGGGCGAAGTACCGTCTACCCGGTTGTTGTAAGGTCGGTGTTTAAACTTCCTGCGAACTGGCCTATTCGTGTAAAGGTTTTGCAGGAGCTGCAAAGACCGAATGAATCGGAGCTGTTCCAGGGTCATTCCAAAAGCTGGGAAGAGGCCGCCCCACGGTCGAAGTTCCTCGTCCAAGGATGCAAGTACATTCAGGGCTGTGATCGACTCCTCTGAAACATCCACGGACAAGTAGTCCCAGAGTACGCGGTGGATGGCCATTCCCGCAGCACAGGCACCGGAAGACCTGCGCCTTGCCATGCGAAGGCCGAAGTACTGGAACCATTTGGTTTCTCTGGAGTCCACCATCCACAAATTCCCGGCAGTCATGCGGACTTTGAACAAAAAACTTTGCCACGCGGGTGCTTGACACCCTTCTAGCAACATTTCTGCATAGGGCGGAAGGTCTCCACTTACCCGAAAGAAGGAACCACGCGGCCGGCAGCAGCGCGAAACATTCCGGGTCTCGTCCCAGCACGGTTGAAATCCCAGCTCCTCTGTTGTTCCATCTGGCTTCACCTTTGGTGTCGGAAAACAACACAGCTCATGCACCCGCCATCCGGACCAGCAGCTCGGGTCACCCCATTCAATCGCTGTCTGGGATGCCGTCAAAGCTAGAGGTGCAATCAGTGCGAGACACACCTGCAAGAGCATACATCAGCAGAGCTCTAGTTGGGCATCGATGTCACGCGACCAGATCGAAGGATGGCTGCGACTTTCCGAAGCAATCTCTGGGTGGTGCTGCTGTCTGGGCTGTGATATTCGTTGGAGGCTGTGGTGGCGGTGGTAGCATCAGTAGTAGCAGTCGCAGTGGCAGCGGCAGTAGGAGTAGGAGTACGAGTAGGAGGAGGAGTAGTAGTAGCAGTAGCAGTAGCAGTAGTCGCAGTCGCAGTCGTAGTAGTAGTAGTAGTAGTCGTCGTCGTCGTCGTCGTAGTAGTAGTAGTAGTAGTACTGGGGGTGAAGTGCTTGATGGGTAGTTGCGGCAGACAGCCGTTGCAGTAGCAGTAGATGCGGCGCTTTGGATTGTCGCAACCAGTTCTACGGGCTGTTGGGCCGACACAGCTCAAGCCGGAAGAACGCTTACCCGTAAAACTGTAAAGGCTCTGCTCTCCGGCAATCGGGGAATGGGAAGAGCCTTCTTCTCTTCCTCGGTTTCGGCGGCTTCCAGAATCTCCGGGCCCAGAGGAGTCATCTGCTGGGGCACCGGGTATTGCACACGGCCTGGATGAACTGCCCAGCGCTGCAGACGCTCTACATGTAGGAAGCTGTTCTCCCCTTCAGCCGTTACTGTATAAGTTTCGGGGTTTCGTTTGTCAGGCACAACTATCGTAGCCCTAAATTGACAAACTAATCGGTACAATGGTTTGTTGACTAGAGACAACGATATAGTGAGGGAGTAAAGTAAGTAAAAAAGCGGGAGTGAGTGCAAAAATGCAACAGGGTGAGAAGTCACCTTTGACGTCGACGTTGAGTTCGCAGCACGGTGCCCACGTCCCCACAGGGCTCTGTGACAAATCTTTGACTTTGACCACCCTGCAGCACGGCTAGTTTGATCAAAAGCGCCCCAGCTCCCCTTGATGAACATTCCAGTGCCAATCAAAAACGCGGTGCAAACTCGCAGAAGATTGGCACACGCCTGGTAACAAGCGCCCGGCTCTGTGGTTGAACACGAACAGACTGCTGAGTTTTTATCCGGCAGAATACTCAAGACTAGAAGGAAAACCCGGCGCATGATTATAATCGGGTGCCGAACCAGTTTTGAAAACAATTTGGGATCTCCGCTGGCTTTAGAACCACACATCTTGTTGCAAAGTGGCGGGCACCAACAGCAACTTTTGGCTTTGTTTCCTCTTCCTTCTCGGGGTGGTACTTCCCGGGTGCCATGTAGCCTGTCGGGCGGTCTCTCTTGTGAGACCAGAACAGACATCAACACACCCCGTCGCATGCTGCACCGTAGCCGCAACGCAGCCGTAGCCTATTCGAGCAGCTGCAACTTTGTCTTCCCGCACTTTGAGCCAAACATAGATTGTGATCACCTCGGTTTAAGTCGGTGATGGCCCGATGTACGACATGTTCCACTTCTTGTAAGGTCTCGTCGTGCACATCTGAAACCACATGTGCATAATGGCCGAATTAACCCGGCGGCACAAAGCCATGGCGTCGGTACAGTAGCCTCGGCCGGGTGGCGTTGAGTGGCCGCCCACTGATCACGAAGTTGAGGCCAGCACCGTCATCCTGATCAGCGGCCCAGATCCGAACGGAAAATTCTTTCTAGATCGTCTCACAAGCCCCCCCCCAACCAAGCCATCATTACGTCTCGGGTAGAGTTAGAGACTGCGGCCACACCTTCCCACCAATGATCATCTCTGTACAGTCGTCCGGGCATCGGCCGCATTCCTTGATTCGGCCGGCCACTGAACCTCACCAAAGCGCAGGTGGAGTTGCCAGGCCCGACGACAGTTTGTGAATGTCGACGCTGGGCTACAAACAAACACTGCCCTCCGAGCAACTCTCTGGGAAGAGCCGCCAGCCGAAACCAAGCTTGCCACTGACGATCTGAAAATCCACCTGAAAGAAGATACCAGTCATCACAGACTATCCTGTCCTCATGACGGGATTTGGATGCTTCAAGGAGAACGTTCGCTGCACCTGTCTTGTAAGCAGACGTAGGCAGAGGCAGTGCCCTTGCCAGCCGGATCCTGGCATCGCTGAAGCGCACGGAAAGGCCGAGGATTGGGGGATGCCTTCACCCTCGGCAAGGCTGCTGCCATTGCAACGAACCAAGAACTGTGGCATAGTTCTGCATCTGACTACAATCGACGATCAGGGCAGACCCAAACCTCAGGCGATCTGTGTGTGAAAAACTTGTATTGACCACGACCCTGGCAGTTTCGACTTCATCTGTTGATGTAAAGCGGCCAACATCTATGGGGAAATGCTGCACCTGCATCGAAAGAGCTGCTCTGTATGGCAGAGAACAGCAAGCCTGCACCGCGGGGGGTCGTTGCAAGCTTCGATCGCTTGCTTGAGGTCGCAAAGCAGTGACAGGCCCACACAGGAAAGGCACAGTATCCCACCACGACTTGCCTGCTTGCTCCAACCGCCAGTTGCAAGGCTGGCCGACCAGCCGCCTCTGGGAAAAGGAGCGAATAAAGGAAGAAGGCAATCCAGTTCTACACTAGAAACTGTGTACTTCGATCGAAACCCATCGGGCCCGCAAGCTCAAAAGCACAACCAGCGGAACCGTACGAAACGCACAGCGAGACACACCAGCACTACACTTCAAATTTGAAGAGGCACCTCTGTGCTGCAAGTGCTGGGGTCCCCGCAGCGGCAGCAGCTGCGGCAAGCGCTGGCTCTGGGGATCGCTGCTCCATGCAACCTGCCGGAAGCGAAGCTTGGGTGCACGAAACGCGATGATTGTGCTGACGCGTCGGGGGCCATTGGCCTGTCGTCGCTGATCGGCCCCACTGGAGTCGATGACTGTAAGCTTCCCATCGTTGATGCTGACACAGGAGGTCGCTGCCCTCGCAGGTGTGCAGCGGCTGAACGACATGATGAAACTCAAGCTCGCAGGTGTTGTCCTGCATCATCCCCGGCCCCGGCCTAGCCCCAGATTTGGCAAAGGTCACCTCGTGATAGCCATGACACGACAAGAGTGACCGTGAGCAGCTTTACAACACTCTTATCCACCACACAGAAATGGAAGTATGATGCTCCGGTTGCCTGGGCGGCGATGGGTGCCCCCTGGACGCCTTTGCCTTGCAAATGGCTTCATGCTCAGCTAGACATACTGATGCAGGACCTTTGGAAAAGCTCGTCTGGTCTTTCTTGCGAGTTCAGATCTCCATCTTTTCAATTTTTAAACTCATGCATGGTTCCAGCATGTGCATTGACGCTTTTCTAGACAAACGCATTCTCAAACACCTAAACAAACATTTTCTGCTACCTTCGTTGGCTTCGGGCCCGGGTCGCCCGGGAGTGAACTATTTTGCATCCGAGGCCTACACCCCCGAACCCAAGTCCTAGACGCCGAGCTTGGGCTCTAAACCTCCGATGCTGCGGTTGGCCTACGAAGCTAAAGGTTGGCATGTCATGTGGGTCGCAGTGCATCTTGGCCCGCGCAGTACTACATTCCAGCTTCCAGATTCGCGGAGCCACTTGTCCGCAAGCCCGCTTCAAGAGCCCCGAAGCCGAAGCTATGCCAAAGAGAGCCCCGAAATTTCAACCAAGCAAAGCCCAAAAGCCCAAAAACAGGAAGCTGAAGTGTGGTACTGCGGGCCAAGATGCAATGCGACCCACATGACACGCCAACCTTTAGCTTCGTAGTCCAACGGCAGCATTAGAGATTCTTGGGCGTCTAGGACTGGGGTTTCGACTTTCACAACTCGGGCAATGCGGGCGTTTTAGGATTTCGGCGCTCACACTGGAACAATCCAGGCGATGCATATGCTTCGAGGTCAAGCAACGTTGGTGAAACAGCACATGAGGATTTGAAGTTTCGTCGCCGACACCCACACGAGGCAGGCAAGGCTCAACATAGGATTGGTTGTTTAAGGCTCTTTTTCCATCTGCACGAGGATCTGATCTACGCAAGCCTACTTGAGAAGCATCTCCGCTTACAAGGAGAAAAAACGAAGTGAAAGACTGAACCCCTGTCATCTCACACAGAGCCATGCAAACGGAAAGCAAAGCGTGGAAGATTCTTAACGGCACCTTGCTCCGCAAACGTGAACTTGCTTGTACCCTGAGTCGGCAGGCCATCCATATTAGACTACCGTAGCAAAAACCCTTCAGCATTCAAGCCGACCCAAGTCATCAAACATTCAACCAAGGATAGCAACCTCCCATCGTGATGTCCTTGCAAGTGTCCAGCCACATGACCCAAGTCACGATGCAAGCTCATGCACCTTGGCACCCTTGCAATACCACACGCAAGGTCACCCCCTGCCCTCTCCAGTTGCTTCGCCTGCAGCAACACACAGGAATATTGACCCAGGCCTCCTGCATTGAGTTCCGGGGCCAGCCACGCCATTTGCTGTAGGTCGTCCCTCTTGCCTCATACCAAGGTTTGTTGCATCTCCAACTTGTGAAGTCACGACCATGCCATCGATGCGGACGTCTGAGCCGCCTTCCGCGCCGCCTGGCCACGGCTCCAGCGCGTGTCAGCCCAGCCCCACGTGCTCGCACATTCAGAAGAGCTTTGGTATGTATCCTCTAGCATCGTCTGCCCTTGGGTGTTGATGTTGCCGTCCGTGTCCTTATTGGCACCATGTACCCCTGACAAACCATGTGTAGCTCCAGTGGTGTTTTGGTGTTCCAAGCTCTGCCAGCATCGCTCCACGCCTCTTGCGCATGTTGATTTTCAAACTCTGCGAACACAACCTTGGCCTTTTTCCGTCTTCTGCTCCGCTTCTTCTTCAGCTCGTTGCACACTGGAGTCACTGCAGCTGCCGAAATTGTCCCTGACTCTACGAGCGCATGGTCCTCTTCATCCTCCCTCTTTTGCAGTTTTGTTTTTTAGGGCGTAGGGCGTGCAGTTCAAGGCTAGCGGCTAACTGCTTGGAACCCCAAGAGTCAGCAAAAAGAAGGCCTAAACCCTACAGCACTAAACCCCAAAACCGAACTCCCTTGACGAGAGTGCAAGGGCTCACCCTCTACCCGCAGGTGGCGTGGAGCGGGTGGAGGTGGAGGGGTGGAGGCTTAGCTGCCAGTCCTTCCTAGTGCCCAGAACCATAGATCCTGCAAAGGCCCTGGCTGCCCAAAGCCAGTCGCACCAGCACACAAACCCGGTCTCCAGCCTGAGTGCATCGGGACACAGCCTCCGGAGCTCAGAACCGAGGCAAGAGCCTGTGGTAGCTGGATGCGGAAGTTCCTGGCGGGGCAAAGCAGACACGGGCTCAGACGCTCTTCTTTGCCTGTCCTGCCATGGCCGTCGTTGCAACCGCCGACGGCCGCATTGGCCTCCGACGCCCCCATTTTGTCCTCTGCCTGAGACGGAACATCCCACTCCAGGAAGCGATGCAACGGGGGACATGCGCAAAAGCTAGGGGCATTGGGCCTTCACCAAGCCATCGCCCTTGGGGTAGAGGCGAACTTTGAAACCTAGCGGACTGCTGACAACCTGGAACTCGAGGGAACTCTCCTCCGCAAAGGCTGACGAGCAGAACGCGATTGACATGTGCGACCAACGATTGGCATATCCTCCAGCTGCAGCTGCAGAACATACTCCAGGACTTTGCCCCCTGGACTGCGCGGCGGCTCGCAAATTTCGCATAAATACACAGACTATTGCATCGCACCGCCATTTTTCTGATCTATTACCGCTATCCTTTTTCTGAGCTACTTTCGACTGTTGTTCGTACGAAGCGAACCAAACCCCCCAACGAAAAATGACAACAGTGTGCAAACGTACCCAACGATGACTGGCTTCCAGCTGACACTTTCCAGCCTACTAGTGAGCCACATGGCGACAGCTCCAGACCCGGGACTTCCACCTGAAGGGAAGTGGTCGCACCCGGCTTGTTCCCCACCCAGCTCTCATGCTGTGATGGATTGCGCAGTTCGAGATTAAACGCGTTCCGTTCGGAAGCTAGCGGTCAGGTTGAGCACAGCATTCCCGAAACCGACAGGCGTAACATGGAAGACTGCTCCTGCGTGTAATGACCCGAGTGCTCTACGACAGATCTCATCGTAAGAGGGAATAAAAGGAAGATGTCCGAGAGCCAAATGCCCTGCAGCAAAGGCGGAACGCCTCTGCTAAGGTGGTGCCCGTTTGCACCTGCCAACTGCAGAAGTCACCCACCAAGCGCAGCGGGAGCAGCTCATCAACCTGTGCGGCAGCAGCCCAGCTCAAGGGCTGCTAGAGCACACTTTTTTCTGCAAAAACGACATGCTGGTCGTGAATCACAAGTTAATGCGGAACAGAAATGCTTGCCATGACACGGTTGGCTTATTCGGCCGTGTCGTCCTGCTCACTGCACAACACGCAACTGGAGGGTACCTTTACGGAGCTTCTCCATGCTTCTTCGACAAGTCTTGTCCGCAAACACGTGTGAAAAGCCTGGTGCGGGCTAGCAGTGCCAGTGTGGTTCGACAGCCGTCCTCATCCAAAGCCTTCAGGCACTATGCTCCAGTCTGTGGCGCCATGGCAGCACATGATCGAAGCAAGGTCGGCCGATAGTGATGATGCGCTTCCAGTGACTCTGGCTGCACGGATTCAAAACTAGGACGGGGCCGGGAAGCAAACATGGGAGCATGCATTCCCAATCGTTCGACGCTAGCACATGAGGCCTCAGTCGCCCTACCTGTCTAGGTGTCTTTCTGTGGGCCAGATCGCGGCAAGCTGAAGCACATCTTGGGGCGATCTGACTTTCCTGGCTATGTACCATAGCGTGCACGCATCGCTCCAGGGTCCAGAGGAGGGAAATCGGCAGGGAACGAGCAGGAGCAGATGTCCTCCGCTGCACGCTGGTGCTGGGCCAAGAGGAGATCCATGCTATGGCACCCAATCTGAGCTCTCTCTGCAGTTCGAATCTGGAAGCGACGGGCCGAGGGCCGAAGCTTGGCAGCAGACCACAAGGGCACCTTGTACGGAGCCGTCCGCTGCACAGCGAGGACGCACCCGAATCTCGACCTGCAGCATTGCAGTGCCTTTGCTGAGGCTGCGAACAAGTTTCGGCACTCACTCTGGGACAAGCTACTCGTAGGCAAGATAGCACCGGGTACAAGTCTCAAAAGAATTACAGACAAACGGGATGATCTGTATCGGGATCCCTCTGCTCACAGGCAGCAGACATTCCAGGTCTCTCGTAACTGCACCAAACCGAGGCATATCACGACTAGGATACCGCATTAAACAACGCAGCGCTGGAGGCCAGGCCGCAAAGAGCAAGAGTCAAGCCTGTACACCTGTACACCTCGCAACCCCCAAGCAAAGCGACTTGAAGCGCTTGTTGCGGCAACTCACCTGCTCGCTGACTACAAGACCTCGGTGGTCAAGCCTTCCGGGCGCTTGCTCTCTCGGCAGGTGGTTCGGCCTCGTGCTCGTTCCCTTCCAGGTCACGCAACGCCAGCTCTGTCTTGACCTCATCCTCGCCACCTTGGACCATGCAGAGTCGTTGCGAGCCACACTGCGAACAGCGGTCTGACGGCTGGGGATGCAACCATAGACCCTGCGCAGAGCACATGACATCTCCTCAATATCCTCCTGTGCACACGACCGTCAAATCCTGCTACGATTTGTTAACCTTTTTGTCTCGGCCCTCCGCTTGCACACACAGCGGCCACGCATCATCAACGACTGACCGACACTGATGGCGAACTGGAACAAAATCATCCGACCGTCCTCAAGGCCTCAAGGCAACAACCCTCGCAGTCCTCCACGATGCAACCCAGGGAAAGCACTGGCTGACCAGTCGCCTTCAAGCATCTTCCGGCTGTTTGGCCAGCGTTCATCAATCAATGAAACTCGTAGGGGCCACTCTTAACCATCACAGAAAGTCCCTGCCTCCTGCTCAGTGAATCCGGTAATTTCGGCCACCTTCCGACAGATCCGGCTGCAGTACGGCGCAAGGACCTCGACCCAACCGACATTCCCTGCCTTTCGGTTCCAGTCCTCACGGCATCAGAGATATCTCGGTTGGAGTGAGAGCACACATGTCCACCTGGATTTTGCCATCTCCATCTATAGTGAAGATGGGGCGCAGCGATGTTTCCTCAGACTGCATCTCAACAAGCACAAGCGTATGCCTATCTGCCACAGCTACCAGCGACTTCGGCTGCCAACAAGCAGAACAAACGCCGCCTGAAGGATACTTACGAATGTGTGTTGAGATCTCGGAACCTACCCAAACTCCTCATAGCCAAGATCTTGACCCGGATTCGTGACTTGAAACCGACCCGAATGACATCCCACGGTCTTGAACCAAATTCTCCTGGCTGGGTGCAGGCTCACCCCCAGCCCATGTTTATCACCGCGTTCTCCGCCACTGGTCGTCGATTGAGCCCTAGCACGCCTGTAAAGACGTTACACCTGTCTCCCTTCGAAAAGCTTGAAAGCAGCACTTCGCAGCATCTGCCGTAAGGTGGTATCGCCCAAGCTCCCAGCGAAAAACATTCGTTGCTCCGCCTGCCACATATCCACCTGCTCTGCGAGTCATCAGCAGGCCGGGTGGCCAAAGCAACCACGTCTTAACGCGCCGTAAGTTTAGCTGCTATTCAAGCTACCCTGTGGAATCCAAAGACCACCAGTAGCTGTGAAACTGCCTCAGCACGCTGTTGAAACCAAAACTGAAGTCCCGCAGACCTTCAGCATCGAGCACTGAACAAGTAATAATGATGAAGGGGGCCTGTGGCTTCGATGCGCACTCATCAGGGTCGCTTCGGTCCTGTCGTTTCGTACGGGAGACTATTCTCCCGAACATACATAATGATTCCAAGACGCTTCCTTGGCCATGACAATGACCCCAACCGCATCTCCTGAAGCCTCGGCAGCATAGACAGGAGCTTTGGGCCATGCACGGTTGACTCTCACAGCTTGGCGGACCCGGAAAGCACACTGTAGCACAGCCGCTAGCCAGCCTCTAAGCTCAGCCCAGTGAAACCAAAAACTCGTCAGTGACGAGGAACGTCATATCGCGCCGTTGCGTTCATCTCCAGAATTGAGATGTTGCCACCTTTTGTCAGCAACTCACACCTCGGACGACCAAAGATATCAGGAAGCCCTATGTCGCTGTGCGCGTGGGCGAGGGGCTTCACTTTCCCAGAGCTGGCAGTGTCATGCGACCGCCTGGACCTTCGTAAATTATTTGGGTTGGGCCGGGTCGAGGCTGCAGAAGCCTGCCCCAAACCCTTCCCAGCTTGTCAAGATGCATCAAAAAACAACGGGCGAGGTTTCCCACATTCAGCAAGTTGAAGTGTTTTGCATCCTGAATCACACGGCCAAATCATAGAGGGTGCTTTGCTCGAACGGCACCATCTCGTACCACGCATGTGCTGCCACTGTACAGTCGAGTGTCTATCACTGGAAAGACACCGAGCCACTGAGCCACAGACTCGAAACCGAATGTTTCGTTCCCGTCCAGCGTGTCCACAATCATGCTGTCCTTGTCGTTGCTAGAGGCTGTAGGCCAGGCAGCAGCAACGATGTCGCAAATGTTAGCGCTGGCGGGGTTGGGATCTTGATAAAGCTTGCAGTGTGGGGCATATGCTGAGTCTCCAGCCAGCTCATCACCATCGCCACAAATCAGCTCTTGCAGAGGTCTGCCCAGCACCTCATCCTGCAAATGAAACAAAAGCATGGTCATGCCAATAAGTGCACTTGCATGTTGCATGGCCGTACAAAGTAGCGTGAATCCTGCTTGAAGCCGCTCAGCTTCTCTGCGGAATCGTTCCAAGCTGTAACCTCTTCCAAACTCCCAAGAGTCTTGACAGCAATGACAGGTGTACGGTGCCCTTTCCGTATGGCTTCATCCCGATGTAGGCTACATATGCTTCAGCGCCTTCCCAGCCACATCCAGAAGAAGACTTGGTGTTGGTACCGCAGCTACCACCTCACAAAGTTGACATAGCCCTTGCAAAGGGCCACTCGGCAAGCAGCCAAGCAGTGAGGCTTTTGTTCGAGACCGGCACCTTGTCAAGAACTGCATTGAAATCCTCCTCGTCGAACACGGGAGACTCCTGACATGGGCAGAACAGTCTGCCCGAATGGTGTCAAACAAGTGCCTGTCTCTGCGCCTTGACAGCTTCAACCTCGTGCGCGACGCAGATGACATCCTAAGCCAGGATGAGGTCGACGCTGTGGCAAGGCCTTTTCAGCCACGCCTCCCCAACATCACCCCGTAAGGCAGGATGTAGCATCAGCCGCTGCAACCCACCACCTTGACATGCTTTACTTGGATCAGTTGAAACACAGATCTGCGGAAAAATCAAACATGGCCAACAGACGACAGTACTGAGCCATCCATCACCGTATAGGGAGGTTGCCGAATCATGTTAGAAGAGACTATGACAACCACAAGTCGTAATCATAGGTGTTTTCCAAGGAGCGGTTCGAATACTGTTCGAAATCACTCGCGAGAACAGCAGCAAGCGAGACGGGAGTCCTGTAGAGGCTGTAGAGCGACAAGCGGCTCTGACCGGCAAGCCTTTAAGTCCATACTGCCCTGCAGCACTTGGACATCATAGTATTGAAGAGACAGAAAACAGCAAGATCGAGCTGACACACGAGAAACTGAATAATGCAGTGGTAGACGGGCAGGTGCCCACAAGCGAAACACTCAAACTTCTGTCCCGCAGCTAGTACCACAAGCCTATCAGTGTACCGCCAGTGCCTTTCACGATCATGCTCGCCGCAACTGGCTGCACTTCTTCACCCTGGCAGGCGAAGTGCAGGTGGCACCACATAACTTCTTGAGGCCTCAACTTCTGCGATGCAGAAAGGCATGGTCGGTGGGCTCAACTCTTTGCAGCACCATGCGCATGTACATCGGAGAAGCCCGCTGGAGAACAGAACCACTCAGCTCTGGCCTGGCCTGTCTGGCTCTGTCGAATGACTTTGCAACCTCCGGCGTGTGCAGGGCACCCAAGGTCCCACCACACGCGGGGCCATGCTTGGTAATCAATCTGATGCAACAAAAAAAGCTGAGGCTGCGTCAGTGAAGCCAGGATCGTCTGAAAAAAAATTTGCCAGCGGTCTGCCAAAGACCTGCCCATAGTGCAAACCGTGCTTCTACCGGACTCTGACCGACGTGCTGGACGTGCGCTGCTTCAAGAACCCCTGGACCTACCACTAGCCGCAGGTCTGTTGCAAAGTCAGCGGCTGACTAGCGATTGCATGACTTTTGAGACGCCACGTGCATGCAAGGATGACCACAGAATTTGCACAGGGACCAAACATGGTCCGTTCATGGTGACTCAAACAGCCGCCCTTTTGGGCAGCTTGCTTCTGTGAACTTGTGGCAGCAAAGCCTTTGATGCTTGATCTGAGACAACATGTGGCAAGCAGCCGAGCTTCACGGTGGCAGCTGGAAGTAAGCGCCCAATTTGCACCATGACCTGAAACACGGCTCCAAGGAGCGGGTCAGAAGAAGGCACATGGCTTCACTCACTCTGCTTCCAAGTGTCCGCCGTGTAGAGCACCAGGCCCAAGTATTCCAGCCCAGTCCAGCTGAGGGAAAGCCGTATCCACTGATTGTGGAGTGCCGCCACCAAAAGGAGGTCTAGAATCAAAGCGGCGAAGGTCCAACAGGCGAGGCGCTTTCCTTCAGTGCGGTCCAGGACGAGCAAGATGTTCAGCAATGTGAGGCACATGGTGAAGCCGGCCATCTGGATCAGAACGTAATGAAGCCTGAACTCCGTGGTTGCAGCCTGGACAAAATCCAATATACAGCTGCCGCCCACCAAGGCCTGCAGGGTTCACAAGCTAAAGAATGCTAACGAGACTGGACTTGCCAGCGAAACCGAAAGGCCCAACCTTTCCTGGAGCTGGGCCCCGGAGGCTGGGGCCTGACTTTTGCGCCACTGCACTGCAGCATGCATCAACACCTGGGCACACAGGCATCAAGGCTCGCTGGGAGCACGGGAAGCTCGGCCGGGGTTTCATGATTCCAACGAATCCAAGGCACGAGGCCGCAACAAGCATCACCTGAGCAACTGCGCCCCAACAAGACTTTGGGATCACGAGTGTTGGTAAACTTGGTCTCGGGTATGGGAAACTGACCAGGCCTAAATTCGACTGGCTTGCATACCCTGGCGCAACTGGGAAAGGGTCTACGGGTGGAAAGGGGGCGGCAAGTGGCGGACGTATCGAGCAGAACCAACTCAAGACTAGAGAGCTCCTGGTCCTGGCTGCGCTCTGGTTGCCGCGTTTTCGATTTCGCCATTTGCTCTTGGTGTCTTGGGTAGGCCACCCATCATATCCTGCTAGTGTTCGGGATTTTGCGAACCAGTCAGAAGCAATCAATCCTCCTTGGCTATTTAGGGTGTCTTCATTTTGCTGCGGGAGGTTCTGCGTCTGGCCAGAAACCACTCCTTTCCTGTCCTTTCCGGTTTCGGCACTCACTCTCTAACATACGATTCTGAAGCCAGGAGATGAGTCGCAACTGGAGCCGGATCCGAAGATCGAGTTTGAGCAAAACCTTGAGGTGGCAAGCCTGCTGGCGGTACCACCAGGCGCGCACCGTGTGGATAGCAGTTTCGGCACCAGCCGAGACACCGAGCTACTCACGTGCTCCACCCCGAACGCCGGTCGTGACAAACTCGGCCAAACAAAGGAGGACCTCGGTCCCCGCCTTGGGCTTGGGAACAGCCACAAAAGCAGCAACGGCGAGCACTGGAGCAGCCGCGCAAGCCTGCGGTGCAAGTTCACAACGGCGGCCAGCTGCTCCATGATCGGTCTCGGCGAACGTGCTTAACGAAGGGCCCGATCACACACAGGGCTTTGGCGCCTCCTGCATGGGGCAAAACATCAGCAACAGCAACAGTGAAGCGCCCGAACTGCTTCGGCAGCTTCCGCGTTGCAAGGCTTGCGGTAGAAGAGCACTTTTGCCATCTTTTCCTCATCGGAGCTCTGCTGCGAAGCGAGGCGGCGAACCGGCGAGGTTGCCAGGGCTCGGCACATTGCACCAGCTTGGACTGCAGATTGCAAAGCTGAGTAGGTGAGATTGGGTGGGGGAACCAGGCCTTGCAAAGTGCCAGAGACCCTGGCGCCAGCAAGATCCGCGAGCGGGATCCGCGGATCTGGGCAATAGACACGGGTAGGGCCGGCGGCATGTACATAAATCGCGGTCTGCGGCGGTGTTGCAAGCATAAGCAGCACCGGAGGTTGCAAGTGCCCCAGCAAGATGAAAAGCGGGGAGGCGAAGTGGCCGGCTACATGGAAGCAGGACGCATTCAGCGGTAACTGCGGCAGACTAGACTGCAGGCGTAGGTCGCAAGCGTCAGCAGTCCACCACGAAGCATCAGGCTGCAAATCAAAATCGTAGAAGTATTCGCGGTCATTTTTTCCCTCTCGCATTACTTGGTATTCGCGGTTATGGACCCAAGGGTTGCCGTCTGGCTCAGGGCAAAACTCTGAACTCCGTGCGGTGGGTGGACTTGCGATCACTGTGGGGGGAAGCCTTTCAAAGCATGATCTAGTGGCTCCTGGGCTGCCTTGGTGGCTCCCCGGCCCAGATTGCTACTTTCTGAATGAAACACACGAAATCACGAAATACGAAGAAAAATCCGGTGTCCCTCTGAGAATCGACAATCAAGAAATCCTATGTCCGGGGCTGCGTCTCGGGTGGTTTCTGGACCCGTTTCTGGATGGGACGGGGGGCTGCCTGCCTCTGCGGGAGGCTGCCTTGCCGTAGTTGTAAGACCCGGATAAGCTACATACTATGCAGCTACTGATTCGACCGCCTGCTTGGCCGGCAAAGGAAACGTGGATTTCGACATCGCAAGCAGCCCCCGTTTTCCCGATAGCAAGCAATAGTCTTTATCCTGATTTCCGAAGTTCGCGTCCCCACGCCGCCGCCGCCGCCACCACCACCACCACCACCACCACCATCGCCCTCGCCTGCCGCGTAAGTCTCAACCGGGAAGCTGAAGACCACCGACAGCAGGGACAGAGCATAGCGCCAAGGACCCCGATTGCCAGTCGCCTGCAATCAAGACTCTTCGGCCAGCTGCCAACACACAATATTTTCTGATGCGGTGCTTGGCATCCAGCTCACGATGGCCCCCATACTTGTCAATCGTTTGGCTACTGTCCAAATCAAGTTGCATAGTCGGAGAGCTCCGTGATGCTGGGAGCGTCTGACGTTGAACCTCAAGCAAAGGCTCCTAGCATGCCGCGTTGACGCAATCTTCGTCTGTCTTTGCCTTACACAAGTACTTGCGGTCAGGGCGCCGTCCAGCATGCAATATACCTCCTGAGTTGTCGTTGCAACTCCCGATATGCTGCTTCACGTACCTTGATTACCAGTACTGTAACGACTGGCAGGAGCTCGATTGCTGCCATGCCGCATAGTTGATCGCTGCAGCTGCTAGGCGGACAAGAACCCCCAAGCTGAGCAAGCAGCCGGCATCGAATGTGTCCTTCAACCACCCGTACATCCATACAACAGTTCATGGCACTATTCGTCGGTTTCGTGACCGCTAATCGAATCAGCACCGGAACTCCCCGAGCACCACTCAGAACAAAACTTTACATGTCTGATATTCACTGTGCCCACTGGCCTGCATGCCGGACCTGCACAGACGAAAATGGACAACGTAGAACTTACTTTCAACAAGTAGCAATGAAATCGTTGGCGCCCCAGCCGAGAAGCGGACCGGAAGAAGGCCTGATACAAAGTAGAACGTGACAAGGCAAGTGAAGTAATCTCACAGGGCTCCTCTACGGCACCCTGGAGACCTCCACTCCGTCTTTGAGCCAAGATGGCAGATAACATCTCATCACTGCGGCGATCTAACGTCCATGGCGGTTTTCCGGTGCCGAGAAGAGCAGGGCTTCATCTCCCTCCATTGTTGGATCATGCCAGCCAGCCAGCCAGCCAGCCAGTGCTTCTCTGCGAGTTGCACCCGGAGAGCCGCCTGCCCTTTGCTGAAGCCCAGTAGCTTTGCGGATGCACCTGCATTCGAAGCGAAAACCACCTTGTATAAGCTTGAAAGGCCGTCACAGGCCAAAATGCTGACAAGGCACCATTCCACTCGTTTACTTGTCCGTGGCAATCAATGCCGAAAATTGGTACGCGTGCATCCTTGGATCAAGTCATTCCGGGCAGCCCACGGCTCAAGCTCAGATTTTCAAGACCGCGGTCGTGCGAGCTGAGATAAATCACACCAGCTCATACGTACTATGCTGACTGACACTTGGGACTACTATGCCGGGAACAACGATGCTCTCATGGAAGCTTGGTGACTAGAAGTCTGGAAAGGCCTAACATCGCAGCCGAGTTTCGTCGATGATGCGACGCATGTCCCGTGCCACGCGCGCAGACGTCTCGACAGATGCCTCCAGGCTGAGCTATGTTGAGTCTTGCCCTAGATGACCATGGAAGGGTGGAGCTACTGCTCGTTCAGACTCCACGTGCCTGAAGTGCTGTGACATCATGTACGATGCACAAGGCACCTGTGATCAGAGGTCTCACGGGGGTGGCATCGTGCAGAAGCCACTCACGCATGCTACAGCCGAAGGTCATGGGTGCCTTCGATTGCCCCGCTTGTGACATGCTGGGGCACCAAATGCAGAATCACATCGGAGCCTCAGTGCGCGATTCTACGAGATCCCCATTTTCGCATGCACCGATCGTCCGGCAGATTACTACATTAAATATGTACATGCAGTTGCGCACGAATACATCAGCACATCATTACAATACTAGTAGTACTAGTAGTAGCCGTTGTCGTCGTGGCAGTGGTAGTAGGTGTTGTTGTTGTCGTCAGAGTCGTAGCAGCAACAGTAGCAGCAGTAGTCGTTGTGGTAGTCGAGTAGCAGTGGTAGTGGCAGTACTGGAAGTAAGAGTAATAGTAGTAGTAGTAGTAGTAGTAGTAGTAGTAGAAGTAGTAGTAGTCGTCGTCGTCGTCGTCGTAGTCGTCGTCGTAGTCGTGGTGGTAGTAGTAGTAGTAGTAGTAGTAGTAGTATTCATTCCCCACGCAGCGAAGATTCGAGTTCGCCTAGCGAGCTGACAATAACCAGGTATTTTGGTTATCGGAACCTCTTATGGGTTCTGCAGGGCACAAGCCAGCTCCATCCACTAGAAACTACACTCAGCTTGTAGTCAGGCATCAGTCTGATAAACCTGGCGCATCCACAAAATATAGATCTGTCCGTCGTGCTCATGTTGAACAGGCTTGGCAGTGCAGGAATCATCCGTAATCCATTGATTTTCATCGCCAAACACAGGCTGTCCCCTGAGAATGGTTCGATGATGCCCCGAGTCAGGAGTGTCACCGTAGTGAAGCAGCATTGCGACGACCTGATAGGAAGCATACCAGACCCTCATAGTGTCCACAGCGTCGAAGATGGGCATTCGAATACGGTCTGAGGACATCACCATTGGTCTCACATCTCTGTGCAGAGCCCCTTCATGGGAAGCAAAACGCTGGAGTTGAATGCACAGCAGCGAAACAGGGCATTGTAGTGCACAGCTCGCCATCAATGGTTTCCTTGGTAGGCCCTGAGTCGAGTCATAGTTTCGAGCCTCCCAGCCACCATTAAACCCACTGTGCAAAAGCCTCTGCAAAAGATACATCACCAGCTCCGCAGCATCATGCTGCCTGTGAACATGTGGCCAAGCTTGCAGCATCGTAAGCCACGGTACAGAATGCAAGACCTGAACAGGCATGTCATGGGTGGTGCCAGCTGGAGGCTGGTGGGCACAACATGGTGAGAACCTGTGCAGGAGGCGGGATACGAGCATCGTGAAGTCTCGCCTGCAGGATGGTCCAATATGCAGCATATATAGTGATATAGTGGAGTGAAGGTAGCACAGATTCGAGGGATTGTGAAGAACCAGGCTGAGAACAGCCTTGAGACTGGGCTTCACACCTATGACTGCTGTTGGTGCTACCATACCTCCTGAACCAGTGTATCGTAGTTCGGACGATCTCGGCGGAGCCTGCACCCCGGCGTGTGCCAGGATGCTTGCCCGATCCACTGGTTCAATGTGCTCCACATGGCTCCTCCCTCCGGGCGAAGAGAAAGACAAAGCTGGAACTGGATCCAATCCGAGGTCACCTAAGGTCTCCTCCGCAACCGCTTTTCTCATCTGCACAAGCTGAGCCAATAGATCCTCCGTCGGAATGGGACGTAAGGAATTGTCGATCTCCAGGCGCTGCTGTGTGGGGCTCCATACAAGGTGCCTCCAGTGCCTCTGCTCGTCGATCCAATTCAGGGCCTTGGCCCTGGACATAGCCTCCTCGCACCGTATTGGTCAGCCTCTGATGCAACGAAATCAGCAATTGCTTGAACATGGCCAGCTTCAAGGAAAAGCTGATTTTCTCCGGCTCCTCCTCTTTCATTCGCCTCCACTTCTCCGCCGCTTCGCACAGCACCGGCACCATGCCCTCCGTTCCGGAACGGACAAAGAGATAGAGCACCATATCCTGACGAATGGCCGAGATGATCTGTTCCTGTCGCAGGACTAGCTGGGTAAGCTTGTTCATGCGATGCTCCATCCATTCCTGGTCCTGGCCGCCGGGATATTGAAGATCCTGTGTCTGGGCCCATCGATTGAAAAATAATTTCCGAAACCACCTGTGTAGCCCAGGGCCTGTGGTGCACTGCCCGAGCTGGGTAGACCCGGTTTCCCCTTGCCTCTGCCCTTGGCTCCCTTGCCCTTGCCTTTGCTCCGGTCTTGTGGACCCAGCCATTGCCTCTTGGACATTTCCGCCGGTGCTGCTGAATCCCCTCCACCTGTGCCAGGGCCAGACTCGGAGGGCAGGGCAGTAGCCCTGCGTAGGACCTGACATCTGTTTCGTTTGATGTGCTTGATCAGCCCATCCCATTGCCGAAAAGAGTGGGTGCAGTGCCTGCGGGTGGGCAGGCCGCCGATGCTATGTGCATACCTGTCGAAGGATACCGTAGCAGCCATCGGAGTTTTATGGCCATGCCACTTGGCCTCATGGGATCGGAGCAACCTGAAAAATGTGAAGACCCGATGACATTCCTGGCACTGATGTGTGGCTGGGTCCAGGGCACTGTCTGCAGTAGCTGATTGCACCTGCCACTGTCTTTGGACCTGGAGATGAAGACTGGCAGCAGTTGCTCGCACGGCCTCGACATGATCGACCGTAATGAAGGTCGTCGTGGCATTCAAATGACTCAGGCTACGGTGCAAGGCCGTAGCCTCACTATGTAAATGCTCGAGAATGGTGCGAAGCGAGCACCTTTGCAGATCACGTGTGGACTCCTTCTGGAGATGCGCGAAGGACTTAGTAATAGCGCGAACATGCTTCGTCATCATGTGCTGCATTCGCAGGATATCCCTAGCCTCCGGATTGGATGCCGCAATGCCGTATAGAGGTGGGTGGGAAGCACTGTAGAGCTCCACACTCGCAGTCGATGTTTTTGGGCGAGATGTCTGGGGGAACAGAGGACACCACGTAGACGCTGCCATGCTTGATTAGCTGCTGCTTGCAGACGATAATTAACAGCTTGCTTGGCTTGCGAGTGATAGGAGTTCGCTTAAGATGTCGACGCAGCCACCCCTTGATGAAGCTCCCCGTGTCTCAACAGCAGTGCAGATTTTGCTGAGTTGATGACCATGCCATGGGCTGCTAGTGCATCCAGGACCTTGTAGAATCGATACACCATGTTTTCCAGATCACGAGCACTATGCATGATTTCTTTGAGGTGGATGTCATCTGCATAGATGGTGGAGCTTTGCTCTATCCAAGAAGCAGTGATGAGCGGATCTTCCTCGTTCAATAAGTCTCTGTAGATCTGGGCCAGGGCAATAATTCCAGAGTAAGGGTGCAAGCTTGCATCCCTGTCTGAGCCAACGCTGGGCCTCAACATTGGCGGAACCCCAGAGGCAAGCAATGCCTTGTCCAGTGGCCTCCAGTCCATGAGGTCAAAGGCACTTGATACGTCCAACGATAGTTGCACTCCCGCAAAAATGAGGACACGGCTTCGGCTGTTGCGCATGTCTGTCCACCGCACGGTGAGGGTGGAGTACGAACACCTATTTTGAACCAGCCGACAGTGCATGGCAACTCTGCGCATGGCTTGGGCAGCGTTGCGGCCTGGTAGATATGCAAACTGGGCCTGGCCCTGCAGAAATTGTTCGGCAATGGTCGAAGCTGAGCCTGCAGGACAGAGGCATATGCACGTCCACTAGATTCCGTCAGACCAATTGGTCGTAGGTTTTTCGGCGACAGGGTCGCGGTATTTTCGGTATAAGGTCTAGCCACGCGTTCTTCCAGAGAGACGGTATCTGAGTCCACTGCTTGCTCCACTTGCACAGCAAGGGTGCAACAAGGTCTGAAGTCAGCCTCCGCAGGGAGTTTGTGGCAAGTCCCGGAGGGGTTGCCTTATGGGGAGACAATTTGGCTAATGCCTGTGCCATCTCAGCTTCCGAGATGTCAATGCAGATGGCCGATCGAGGGGCCCCCTGTCACCTCGCGACCTTCATCAGCAGTGTACAATTTGCGATAGTGTGTTTCAAGCTGCTGAAGCTGGGTCTTAGGGTCCTGCAGGTTACCATTCGAATCCCGCAGCTGCACCTTGGGCTTAGAAGATTTGGGTGCGAGGGTACGGACTCCAGCGTAAAGCCTGCGAGAGTCTCCGGAGCATGCGGCATCCTGCAGATCCTGCAGCCGTGTGTGAAACCAGTGCTTCTTGGCTTCTTTGCCTGCCCGACGAAAAGCCTTGTGGGCAGTCTTGAAGAGATGGTAGCTCCGGGCAACATAGAGCGGGTTGTGCTGGACTTGAGCCTTGGCACTCTTCCAGTCCCTGTAAGCCTGCCACATGGATCGAATACCAGCCTGCATAGGCGGTGTCTGCCATAGGGCCAGACGGTGCTGACCTTTGGGTGGCGGGAACACGTGGGAGGCACAACGAATAAGAGCGCACGCAGCTGCTCTAGATGAGTACCGCAGGGGAGCGACTCTTGCACCGCGGATCGCGGATCGATCGTGCTGCCGTCGAGGATCCAGATTGGAGGCACAGACCTGGAGAAGCCCCCAGTGACCCCATTCCCTCCTAGGCTCAGCCGGTTTGTTCAGTGTGTGGAAGCGAACAAGCGGTATGCTGGCTTTCAGGGGGAGATGGTAGCCTCCCAAACGCCAGGCAGCCAGCCCCAAACGGAGAGGTCTGGCCTGTTTGGCCGATCGTCAGTTTGACAAACTCGCATCAAGATGTGATCGATGAGGCTGGCACCATGACCATGATGATAGGTAGCCCCTGCAACCTTGCACCAGGAGTTAAGATGGACCAAGAAGTAGTCTTCAAGTATCTGCTGCAGCCGTGCCTGATCCGGAGGGCTATTACAAGCATTCGTGCCCGAACGAATCCTCACTCTAGTGGCCGAACAGGGCTTGAGAGGGTGTTGTAGTCACCCATCATCACAAGTGTATTACAATTTAGCCGGGATTTTAGCAAGGAGTGTTCGCAGGCTTTCCCAGATTTCCATGCGCAATTCCCTCGCGGACTGAGCAGCTTTGGGGTGGGAGTTGTAGGGCTTCTGATGGTCATGGAGCACATCGGCAGTCCAGCGACCGTGTATGAAGCGAAGATTCTGTATACGTCCAGGCTTGGGGTCAGCATAGACCACCTGGCATTGCCGGGTAAGCTGCTTGTCTATCAGCATAAGGAGGCCAGCCGATTTGTTGTCAGTTGTGGGCGAGGTGTAGACGTCCCAAGTAGCCGTGTGAAACTGCGGGGCAACTGTATCCGTCCAGTGAGTTTCCTGCACACAAACAATTTGGGGTCTTTCGGCAGGACGCATGTTTTCAAGAGTAAGTAGAAGTTCGTGCCACAGGGCCTGCGACAGGCCACCGGAATTCCACGACAAAAACAACAATCTCCCTTGTGAGTTCTGAAGGAAGACCTGTTGTGCACGGCTGGTGGCCGTGGGTTGAGGTCTCTGACCACGATAGCTCCTGCAAAGTTGTTGGAGTGCGCACACCCTTCCTCTATACACGGTATGCTGGGCCTGATCTTGAGCCGCACGGTGCACGGCTCGCTTATAATAGGCATTAGGAGCGGCTGCTTGCAGAGGGCCACCTGGCACAGAGTGCCCGGCCCGCACAGCACCAGGTGAGGATGCTTCCGGCATGCCAGAGACAGGCCTGATCAGGACCATCAGTGCCGACAGCAGAAAAGATGGTCTAAAGCCAGGGCAGAAGACCTGAAGCAGGTGGTACGGCAACTGAGGTCCGGTGGACAAGGTGGTAATCCTGGCCTGACCGCAGGTTTATCAGAGTGCCAAGTGGTGAGGGGCACAGATTTCACGGGCCTGAGCTTTCTTTGGCGAGGACAACACGGAGGGATAAGGTGGAGAAGTGCTGGAGCCCAGATGGTTACAAGGCGAATCGGAAGGCCTTGCCTGCAGAGAAAAAAGTATCTGGGTTTGGGCTGCGGCACCACATAACGTGTACTCCACCTCCAACTTTGCGGAAGCAGGATTGGCGCGAACTCAGAGGAGGGCTCAGTCACGTGATACCTCCAATGTAGCTGTACAAGGGGGGTTCGCACGAGACGGTCAGGCCAGGTAAAGCATTGTGCAGTTGCTGTACAGATCTAAAAATGTGGTTTAGTGAGGAGTCCCGTGGGACAGCCCTCACAGCAGAGTGTAGTTGTTGAGGCTCCTGCCACGGCTTCCCGTCTCCCACCACGAAGGTGAAATTCGGTCGTGAGCCGGTGGCGACCGCTCACAACCCTCACCCCTACCGACTGATACTGGCTCCCAGCACAACCACGGCAATCACCGAAGGTTGGGGGGATATCAAGTTGGGAAGTCGGCCCTCGGATTTGGGACCGAAGGGGCTCCATGACAATGTGTCAAAAGTCTGAGAGCATGGCTTAGCGTGACTCGCTCCCCTGTTCAAGCAGTCCAGCAATACAGCTACAGGAGCCGGGAGCCCAGCACTGTCAGTCCATGGCTTCAAGGTCCAAGGTGGAGCAGGATGCTGCAGTCCGCTCGGTTGATGCTGCAATATCGGTGTAGTATCGTATCTTATTGGTAGCGGAAACAGTACGGCATCGGCAATCTGCGACCAGTCCTGTGCCCAGCGCTCGTGGCACGCCTGAGAGTGCGAGATTGCCGGGGTCCTCCGAAGAGGTGGTGCCGCCTAGAGCTGTGGCAACCATTGGCTGTATCCCAGGCGCCGGAGACAAGTGAGCGGCTTGGGTGTCAAGATCCGCCCCCGGACGAGGGCACCGAAGACAGACCAGGCATTGCTCAGCCTTACTTGCCTGGTACACATCCGGCCACCCCTGCACAGCAACTTGGGAGGACAGGCGAAATGGTACAACCTGCTGAACTTGGGCGTGCAGCCAGCCTGTTGCCAATGAAGGAGACAGACCTCGTCCCCAAGGCATAGAACAAGGACAAGGATCAAGGCCAGGATGCAATGCATTGGCAGAAATCGCTCGCGCCCCCACCGGCATGGGTTGTGGCGTGCGAGGCGGTTGTATGAGTCCTGCAGGCATGGTGCGCAGGTCAACTGCCCAGAAGCTGATAGCTGGCCTTCGAGAGCTCAGCCGAGAGGGCCCTCGGACGAGGCAAGTAAAGCCAGCACAGGCTTCCTGCAAGGATTCTAGCATGGTGCCTGGCATCCGGTGGCCCGTCCGTAGGGGATAAGGAACAGAGGCCACGGCATTTTCTCGCCTCCAGAGCACGAATTCTCGACACCTCTCAACCATGAAAGGCAATGCGAGCTTCCAGGTGCCAGGAAACGAGAGGCCTGGAAGGTAACCAGCCGGAGCCGTACCAGGCCTAAGCAGACAGGAAAGCTCTGAGGTGCACATGCGCCAGGCGTGCCCTAGTGCACAGCAAGCAGAGCTCATCATGTATGCAGTCGCAGTCGGCCCGGCAAAGATAGGGGCCTAATGGCATTATGCCCTTGGGCTCAGCTCGGCGGTCTAACCGTGAGCGCGAAGGTCCATCCCGCCTGAGGTGCACCAGCTGTGGCTCAGCACTGACGCTCAGGGGGATTGGTGGACCCTGGCCCAGGAGGTACATTCGCTGGTAGTCCAGCAGAAGCCATAGCTGCATAAGCCTGCACCAAAATTGTAGGAAGTGTGGTGCTGGGAACTGTGACTCCAGGCGCTCCACGCAGCGAGAAGGCCGGTGTCGGCGGAGCTGTCCTGCTGGCTTGCTCGGTGGACACCCCACACTGCCTCTAGGCCGATTGACAGGCAGCGGGGTTGGTGGTCCTGCAAGGGGAGGGCAGTGATCGCTTCGCCCGACCTTGGGCTCGGAGGACTATCCTCAAATGGGGAAGAGTCCGGTGCAGCACTGGCCTTGGCCTTGACCGTCGCCTCAAGATCTGGTAGCACTGCCACGGCCCCCTCTGGTGGAATCCCTGGGCGCCATCGATAAGATTTAAAGCCTAGAGGTGGGCTCGCACTACCCCAAGCTTGAGCACAAGGTGCTATGCAGAAGGACAGGCTCATAGTGCTCACATAAGGCTGTCGAGTCTGGCAGTCAGTCATGTCATTCTGAGTGACCCACCCGTGCTGATACCAACAGGTCCAGCAAGGAAGCAGGGCAGCGCCAAAGAATGAACACAAAAAAGCTGCGGCGGCCAGGCAAAGTGGGACGGGGCAAGGAGGGCCCCAGGAGGTCGCACCATCATACAGCCTACTGCCGTGGGTTATGGTAGTCCCACGTTTCTGCAGCCTACAACTGTGGGGAGAAGTCATCTCTCTAACTGGAGCCAAGGGGCGTCGTAGTAGTAGTAGTAGTAGTAGTAGTAGTACTCACTCACTCACGTGCGCGGCAGAAGTGCGTCCGCCTAGCGATTGCGGCACACGTGTTGTGTGGAGGCTGAGGCCTCGTGGCTTGTGCCACCCGTCCTAACCTGACCGCCCCTAAGGACCTTGATGGGTCACCGCAGCTGTTAAACACCAGGAACTCGATGGCAATAGAGAAAGAAGATAAAAAGTGAACAACAAGACAAGAAGACAATATGAGCTGCGGG